GTTTAAATTGTACCCATTCCGATAACCGGCCTCAATGAGAACGGTCTCGTTATTTTTCGTCACTACCTCCTCTTGCTGAGAGTGGGTAATTTGCGCGCCTGCTGCCTTCTTTGGAAGTGGTAGCCGTTTCTCAGGCTCCCTCTCCGGAGTCGAACCCTTATTCTCCGTTACCCGTTACAACCATGGTAGGCACATAAACTACCATCGAAAGTTGATAAGGCAGATACTTGATAGATATGTCGCCGGTACTAGACCATGCGATCAGCTAAGCTATTCAGAGTCACCAATTAATGAGCCATTTAAAGCTCGATTGGTTTTAAAAGTCATCTGAATAAGTCAACTATTCCTCGAAGTAGCATTGGTCCTTTTTATTTATTATATTCATTATTAGTTTTTTAATTTAAAGATTGCTGATTCAAATCGCTCCATTGGGCAATATCCCAGGGAGTCCTTTGGCGATAAAAATACAGGATCAACAGCATCACCTGGATTTTTTGACAGATTTACTCCTGCATGGAAGAGAACCTCAGCATCGGCCTTAGCATGGGAGAGGGCTGGGGTTCGATTCCCTATATCTCCAGCGCATTCTGGTCTTCCTCGCTTTTGCGCCAACCATCACAGGGTTTAGCAAGTAATGAAATATGCGTCAACTCCTGTGGTGGATGACGGAGAATGTACCAAGATCAGCGAAGGCGACGCTCTGTGATAACGATATACGGACTTAGATATAGACAATGGAAAAAGGAATGGCTTCTAGTACTGCTACCGATGGCGTCGGACCGGGCAGCTTGGAAACATCTTACACCAGCGGAGCCAGCCTAACCAGCAATGGTGAGAGCTATTAGAAGAAGAAGAAGAAGAATATGAGGCTTGGATTCATACTAGCTTCGTACCAGTAGTTTTTCTTATCAGCATTTATTGCCAAAGGACCAATTAATGAAAAATTGGCTGATAACGCAGTTTTCATCAGACCAAATAGGTGCGTTGGTGGATTGGTGGATAATAAATCAATTCACATGGTAATAAAAAATTATAAATGTATTCTCTATGATTTGATTTTGCTTTTTGTCTTTCTTCATACCTATCGTCATAATAGACTTTTTTAATAAAATAAATAATTAGATAAGTATTTCTGGCTAGACTGTCCTACTAATAATAGTATGAGATAATTTTGATAAATGGACATCTAAAAGTATAGATGGATTTCCAGCATCACCTGGATTTTTTAAGTACTCATAAGGGAGGCTGAAATTTGCGCTTTAGGCGATAATCTGTGGGCGATATGCATTCGTCTATTCTCTTATTTGTTAATTGCAACAGCAAAATTATTTATCCACACATTAGGGTACATTATAATTTTGATAAAAATAAACCGCAACTATGATCAGAGAGTAATGCTTTTCACGAAAGCAATTAGGTAAGATATAGCCCTGCCAATGGGTAATTAAGGAAGAGCGAAATCATTCAAACTCGGCACAACGAAGCGATAATAGATGATGTATTGCAGAATACTGAAATTTTCGATTTTATTGTTAGAAAATCAATTTATCTTTTACATCTAAGAAAAGCAGCTGCAAATCGCAAATCTTTTCTTATTTTAATTCTAACCGATCATTGCCACTATTCATTGTCTACGCAGCGATACAATTATTGGAAAGGAGAACTTGTGGATTAGATCTTTTTGCCATAAAAATCGCCATTTTTAGCGATAAGAATAGGAAAAAAAGCTGTATTCGATCCAGAATAGTAGCTCTTTATGTCCTTTTATAATTTTTCCTAGTAAAATTTTTATCATTTTTTGGAATGCAAACTTTTCAAATCCGCAAATCCACGAACCCACTGGTTGTCCTTTCCAAATTCCATAAGTTGTTCTATTCAAATCCACAAATCGCCAATTTTTTCACTAAATAAGATTTTTTCTCAGCTATAAATATAATTTTTTTAACATAATATAAAATAGAAAATAAAATTTTATTTTGGGAAGTGGATCGTAGTTTTTGTTTGAATTGTTAATATTCAATATTTCGAATCGCATTTTTAGGCAATAATATATGTGAAATGAATACATCAATGTTATCAGTGTTATTTCTACTTTTACTGGAACTGCTAAATGCGAATTGGAGATGTTCAAATGATTCGTTATTAGGTTCGGCATTTCAACGATGTTATTATTTTCTGCTTAAACCTACAACACATTATAATTCTCAACGATTTTGCGAGAAATATGATGCAAAAATGTTAATCGCCGATTCTGAAGATGAAGCTGAATTTGTTACTGGTAACTTGCGCATATTTATGTAACAAAACCGAAAAAAAAATTCGTTTGTTTCATTGTATAATTTGCTGAGTGAAAAATCTATGAATGAACATAATGCCATTAGCATTTACTAAAACACTGAATGTTTAGATTAGTTTTTTCAGTAATTATATTATTTTATTTGCAGAAATTTTGAAATTGGTTTTTGAAAATCGAGCAAATGTCAGTGGAATATGGATAGGAAGTCGATTCATTGATGATGAATTTAGAGTAATTGATGAACTTCGAGCCTTGCCGTTTGATAATTGGGATAAAGATAATTTTTCTAAATAGTTATTAATAGTACATTTTTCTATTGTGAAGGATGCAAATGGTTAGCGCTCGCCACTTCTGGTTAGCTCTTAATACGACTAAAATTTTTGCGATAGAAATATTATAGAGCACCACTCGTACTTCTTGATAGTAGATTTACGCCTGTCATGGATGGATCGGAACCCTTGGCTTTCAACGCTTGATCTGAACTGCTGTCCAGCCTGCCATCCTGTCCGCAATTACTTATTGATTGTAACTAAGGACAAAGTTGTCGATAATTCATAATAAGGGAGTTCAATAGATGTTATTAGCCTTCTACAAAATTGTACATAAATTAAATATTTATGATTGGTACATAAAACTGATGATCGAAACTGCTGAAAATTTGCAATTGTTACCAGACATAAGCGGATTAAAATAAACAGCTGGTACCAGCGGTGTTGATCCCTCCTTTTGGCTCTACTTTTTATAGAAAGTGCTTATCATTTAAAGGAAAAGTAGATGCAAAAAAAAGATTCTCTTTATTTTCGAAAAACTGCTTAGGCACAAAAATTTTAGGAGAACCAGCAGAAAAAACTGAGCATCATTGTGTGATGTCATCAATTCAAACTGGGAAATGGTCCAGCGAAAATTGTGACATTTACAAACCGACTGTATGTACTTCAAGTGCTATGATATGCAATAAGCATCCAGTTCCATTTAATCCATATATTGACCATGGATATCGCACAGCTATAAAACCAAAAAGCGACAACATTGCCAGTATGTGTTTTCGATGAAAGTGGAACTTTAGAAAAATTAAATCTTTTTAGAAAAACGGAAATGGAAAAATGATTTAAATGTAAATTGAAAACTTATTAAATAAATTTGCTAAACCATTGACCACTTATAATGGATTTAAAATTTTGGAGTATTTATTGAATATTGTGCATTTTAGACATTATAAAATGTGGAATTGACGAAGTATACATCGATCTACTCGGTAGTTGCTTCAGATTTGTTGATCAACCGAAAATGTTTTTTGATGCATTCAAGTTTTGCGAAGAAATTGGTGGTACAATGCTAAAAATCGATTCGCAACTCAAAGGAATTGTCTTTAGTAGTAATTTTTTTCATTACTTTGAATTAAAAAATTACTTTGTTGATTCAAGCGAGTGTGTCTGGCAAATGGTCTGCTGAAACCGATTTCTAGCAGCTCTCACCATTACTTGTTAGGCTGGCTCCGCTGGCTCTATCAGAAAAGCGTTCCCAAGTTATTCGATTCGATACCACCGCTGGCAGTAACAGAAGCTATCCCTTTTTCCCTCATCTAAGTCCATATATTGCTGGTTTATATATACTTTCAAAATTTTTCCTCACTTTATCTTAATCAATCTTCAGTCGTGTCAGCCTTAACTGGCCCTCCTCGCTTTTAACGCCACCCATCACAAAGTTTAGCAAGTAACGAAATATGTGAGTGATAAAAAATGTGCCCTGACCAGCGAGGACGACGCTGTGATGGCATTGTTAATGTAGCTGAACGAAGATGGATGCAGTCATGCAAGATTATCCGCTTGTCAGATGTGCAAAATGTGTTTTGAACAAGAATTATTAAAGATAGTTATTATTTCACTCCCATTGGTCATATAACAAGATTATGCATACTGCAACTATATAGATATATTTCCGTGAAGACATGAAGGCTTCGCCAGCCGAAAGAATGCACTGGCTGCTGTTGTCCGGACTGCAATTTCCTCTATCGTTTGAATTCGTTAAAGTGGAGCAAATATATTTAAATATATTTAAAATCAGCCAGTGATAATTGACAAAATAGGTATTTTATCATCGCCTATCTTACTTAAATCTGAACCAATTTCTGCTGCAGTTGCTGCAGTTGTTGACATATTGTTTAGCATCACTTGCATTTCGCCATAATTGTCTATAAAAAGTACTACAATATCAACGCATTCAAAATCTTTGATAATATGGTCTGGACTGATTTGTGCACTTCTTGAGTCCCGAAAACTGTGTCTATAATCCAATCTTTCGTATAGCCGAATACTGTAAAGGAAATGTCGCAGCCCTGACGTATATCAGCTATTTCGAAAGAATCTATTATTTTCCCATATATAAAGATCTTTGCCGACGTACGCTAGTAATATGCCTTCATGAGTCGAATCTTTCCTGGAACACCGTAATATCCCATCACCTTCTAAGGCGCTATTCTATCGAACCAAAAAGAAAGGTGAAATTGATGAAACAAGCGACAGTGGATTGATGAAGCGATGTTCCAACACTTTCTTGACGTGAATATTCAGTCAGAACACCTGCACTTCTATTTGAATTCACATTAGGTGTATCCTAATTGGGTGTATCCTATTCTTTTATTGCCAAAAATCTATTTAGCAACTCCCAGAGAGACCCTAACAGGCTAATTTCTCGATCTCACAGTATGCCCTATCACCATTCCTAAAGATTGGTAGCAAAATTGGTTAATACTTGGGGGTTAGTTGTATCGCTCAAATACCACCTCATTAATAATGTTAATAATAATGTTATCACAGAGCGTCGTCTTCGCTGGTTAGGGCACGTTCTCCTTCGTCCACCACAGGAATTGACGCATATTTCGTTACTTGCTAAACCCTGTGACGGTCAAAAGCAAAGAGGGCCAATTAAGACCTGGAATGATGCAATCAGGAAGGATTTTGAACGTATAGGAGGACCAGCGATATATGGACTTAGACGATGGAAAAAGGAATGGTTTCTATTACTACTAGCGATGGCGTCGAATCGGGCAGCTTGGAGACATCTTACTCTTGTAGCCAACCTAACCAGTAATGGTGAAAGCTGTTAAAAGAAGAAATACTTGGGGGTTCCAGTAATGTGGTCTACTGCCTATAAGCCTATTTAGCAGCAAAGTGTGGAAAGAAACTTTCCAGAGACGTCTAATTCCTCGCTAGTTTTCACAATATCATTCTTTCTAGAGATTGGAAAATTGCTTTGCTCTAGTCATATAATTCTTTTTTCCATACCAGAGAGTATATTTCCTTTGAGTTATGGAGAATGGGCAACATTTGAAGATTTCAACTAGAATACAATCCGGAAGCTTTATATCTGCAGAGATCGTTCGATTCCTCGCCCTTGAATTGAGTAGATGCAGTCATTAAAGGTGAAATCTGGTTAAGGATAAGAAGCTGGTGTTAACCTAACTGAAAAACAATCCAATCTTAGTAGCCAATAAAATTATCTAAACCAAAAATAAGGCCTATTAGAAAATCTTAATCTTACTGAATCTTTTGCAGAAAATTTTTGCAGATAATTCTGTATTTTATGAACTTCTGCTTCATCAAATGTATTTATTCAGAAATAGCAGATAATCTATTCCCACAAAATACTACAAAATACTGGTTAGGTGGAACACGTCTACTCGGTCGGTGGCAATGGTTTGATGAAAGCAAGATTACTAATGCCAAATGGAGCCAAGGTTTTAATCCATAAATTATTTAAGAGCATCTAATAAACTTCAATTTAAATCTTTATTTATAAGATAGAAATCAAAGAATTGCGAAAATTAAAGATTTTTGATAAATATGGCAAAAACCAAATCAACCAATACCCAAAAAAAGGTATTTATGGACTTTTGCAAAAAAACATTTATAAAACATGAAGAAAATTTCGAAATTTTCCTTTGATGAGTTTCTCCATTTTTTTTTCACTTTTCATGGAACAACGTTTTAAATGAACAAGCGCAAAATAAAATATGAACAAAATATTATAGGCTTTCCACGAAATGGTTTCAATGAACAATGTTTAGCATCTGATCGAAAAGGAGAATGGTCGAGCACAAACTGTTACACAACAATGCTGCCATACGTCTGCACAAAAAGTACATTAGATATGAAATGTTAACAAGATCAGATGACGAACTATATATATATTTGCAGAACTGCAATATGCAATAAATCAAAAAGTAATATTCTTTAAAAATTGCAAAAATGAATAAAAATTTATCGTCCAAATTTAACGTTTTCACCGCGCAGTCTACGAACGAACTGCATATCCTTCGGAAAAATTGTAACACGTTTTGCATGAATCGCTGCTAAATTTGTATCTTCGAAAAGACATGTAAGATAAATTTCAGCCGCTTCCTGAATTTTTTTGAAAACATGTAAATAATAATCAAATATATGACGAGCAAGTTCAAAATGAAAAAACTTGAACTGATCAGAATTTATTTTTTTTACAAAATCAAGCATTAAAATTTAATTTTAAATTTAAAATATTAGAAAAACCTGAAGAGCCAATATAGCTGCCATCTGAAAACGCAAATCAACATTGTCTTGTGCTACATTCCTCGCTATCTCTCTAACAAGTCGTTGAAAAGGAGCTCTTGGAATGAGTAGATTAACAGTTCGTTGCAGCCGTCTTATTTCACGAAGTGCAACAACACCTTAAAATCAATTTTTTCGAAAACTGAAAAACTGAATGACTAAAAACACTAAGCAAACAATGCAGGAATTCTGATAACTTTTATGATAATTACTTTTATGATATTATTAACTTTTATGATTTTCTTTTTACCTTCAAGAACAAAAAACTTTAGTAAAAAACCTGGTCGGAATCGTTTTTGCTTCAATGTCGCACTTTTATTCGCTTTATTTGCTTTTTGACGTTTTGCAAGTAATCGTTTAGCATTTAAACGTTTTGCTGGAGGAGCTAAAGACTTTTTTGCCGTTTGTTTTGTACGAACCATCACTGAAAAATACTTTTTTAAAGATTTAATTACGTTAATAGAAATAAGATCAATGAAAACGGTAATTTTCAGTATCACATTCAAAATATTAAAAAATAGAAACTGATGTTAAAAAACCAGCTAATAGCAATCTACAATTATTTGGCGCCGAACCAATGTTTTTCATTTGCCACCGTATTATTACCCAATTATTAGATGAGTCTGGCATCATGTCGGATAATCGACAAGTATAACTCCACAAGCAGCAGCAAATAATTGAGCTAACAAATAGAAGAGATGGGAAAACCGTTATTCAAGGGGATTTACTATCCTTTCATCGCTAAAAGGTAAAACTAATTGGCAAAACCGATATGGGGGTAGCGAGCTTAGAAAATAAGAAACAAAATGCTCAATATTCAGAAAAACTAGCTGCAACCACTTAAAAGAGTATATTTCTGACAAGAGTACATTTCATTAATAATTCGAATAACGGTTTAAATATTCAGTAGAATATAAAATACCTTTCATTACCTTTTATATTTATTAAATAAAGAAAAATGTGGAAACTTTATTGAAATCCTAGAGAAATCAAAAAATTTTTCAAAAAATACACACGATGCTGGCTAGATTTTCCTCCACTGGCAAAAATTCCTTATCATATCAGTAGCCACTATGGCAAATCTAAAAACAAATCACTAACCACTTAATCCTTACCACTAACCACTAGATTGGTTACGAAAAATATTAAACTTACCAGTAAAATATTACTATAACAACCACTCTAAAACGCAGCTACCGTTGATGTTACACGCAATAGCAACGTGCGTATTAACATGCACCTAGGCACAACTCGCTTCATTCAATTACACCAAATTCACCAAAACTAACAGGCAAGCTACTATTAAAGCCAATCAATAGTATTCACTTATGGCCGAATGGTCCTAATCGCGGTCACGGTCGAGAAAAAGCGGCCTTGCCGTCTCTTTGATGTTCATTCATTTACCGAAATCTCCTTCTTCTAATTGTTTTTTAGGGTTATTTAAGGCTAAATGATTGAAGTAAAGTAACAGTGAAATTTTTCGATCATAACTAGTCGATTGTCGATAAAAGTCATTTGCTCTGAACGATAGATAGCAGTAGAATTTCTGTATTTAATCGCGATATTAGCATTCTTTATATGTTTATTTTTTAATCAATTTTTTATTAATTTTATCATTCACTTTTAATTGTTGGTTCTTTTCGGTTAAGTGGGCAGCGATGATCTGAGGAAGGTCGTAAGGAAAGGATCGGGGTAGTAGCGGCCTTGTGGGGGACGCAGTCAACACTTGGATTTATACGGTCTGAAAAACACATCGGCAACTAAACTATGCATGGTTGCAGAAGTCTTAGATGGCGCAAAATGGGCTACTTCTATTACTTTCAGATATATATCTGAGGCTAGGAAATGCCTCACGTTTGTGGTGAATGGACTGAGCGAATAATGGTATGCTGTTATAATAAGAAGAAAAAGGAATAATCGGTAGGTGAATTAATGGAAATGGGAAAATGGAAGACTTCTTTCTCCCTTTCCCCATCTTTTTACTTTTTGAGAGATATTCGTACTGATATGTGCTAAAGACCGCGTAATTCTGCATGCGTTTAAGCGTTCATTTCCTAAGCCTTTACCAAACTTGCCATTTGGGTATCATTTGGGAGATGTCTCTTCATTTTGCTCCATTTAGTACCATAGTGAAAGTGCAAATCAATAAGTTCCATATGTGACCGTTTTAGTCACCCGCTTAGTTTTTAGAAATTTTCGTTTTAGGGTATTATTCTATTAACGTAGGAGAGAGTGAGAGAATGTAACTATTCGCTCGAAGAATAAGTATTTGCAAATCCTTTCATTTTTTGAGGGAATCTTCTATGAACAGTTTTAGAAAGTAATCAATATTGTATGTACTCAAGATGTGTGCGAATCAGACCAGAGCATAGCATCACAAACCTTGAATACGCTGATGACATAGTCCTTTTTGCTGACAGTTATGAGGACATGCAAATAATGTTAAACAATGTGTCAACGACTGCAGCGAGAATTGGACTCAATATCAATGTAAATGAAGCGAAATTGTTTTCGTTTTATATATAAGATGCTGATAAAATACTTTTTTTATCAATGGAGTTTAAATACCTTGCATTCACTTTAATCCCAAATGGCCAGGCAAAGGATAAAATTGTAACCAGGATAACGACAGCTAGAAATATGTTTTTCCCGTTGATAAAATCTTTATGGAACTGTCGCGAAATCACCATAAAGACGAAAATCCTTTTCCATATAGCTGCGATTCGCTCGATCTTGCTATATGGCTGCGAAACATGCCCAGTGAGTGTGGAAGATATTAAGAAGCTATTAGTCTTTGACCACTCATGTCTAAGATAGATTTTACGGATCTATCGAAGGATAAAACCGTTCAATACCACTTCGTCCAAATATTTTTAATAATTATCACAGAGCGTCACTTTCGCTGGTTTGGGCACGTTCTCTGTCGTCCACCACAGTAATTGATGTATATTTCGTTACTTGCTAAACCCTGTGGTTGATGACGAAAAGCGAGGTGACCCAATCAAGACCTGGACTGATACGGTCAGGAAAGATTTTGAACGTATAGGGACACCAGCGATATATGGACTTAGACGGTGGAAAAAGGAATGGCTTCTATTACTACTAGCAATGGCGTCGAACTGAACAGCTTGGAGACGTCTTACCCCTGTAGCTAGCTAGCGGAGCCATCCTAATCAATGAGAGCTATTAGAAGAAGAAGAAGAAAGAACCTAAAGTTGGCCCAAAGGATAGCTGAGCAGATTATCCCATTGAGAAGCGAAGCACCCATCCTTGCCAAAGACAAACTATCGTCAAAAAGCAAACGCAGGTGGTACTTTTGTCGTCAGTCTGGCAATAGTTCATAATCTACCAATAGCCAGTTGAACGAGAAACAATGAGTATTAAATACTTATTTAATTTGCCTTTTCAATTTGCCCAAATATATCGAAAATTTTCGATATTTTAGAAGTTATATTAATTATTTGCATTATTTACTTAAGTGACTTAAGTTAATTTTTAAAATAAATCTTATTATTTATTAATTTTTTTTAAAATTAGCTCCTTTCCATTTTGTCATTCAAAATTCGTCGCTTCTCTTTACAAATTTTTTTATTTATTATAAATTCATTTTAGTGAAATAAAATTTTAAAAAATTAGGAATATTCGTGGAAAAATAGCTTGGCATTCGATCTTCTTCTCGTCAAATTTTCGCTCGAATTTTGTTTTGTTTTCTTTTATCAATTTTTTGATTATTTTAGCTTTTTTATGCGAATTTACAAAAAATTTTAAGAATCCAGAAATCTTTTTCTTCTTTTAGAAAAAAATCATAATTGTGCTGCCTTCCTCGGTACCAAAGAATTTATTTAATGTATAAACGATGGTCGGTCGATTAAAAATGTGGATTGCATGGTCGTGGTCATATCTTTGGACATTTTGGTTCTTATTAGTTATCGCCCTTGTATATATTTTACGAGGTCCTTTACGTATCGCTGAATCTCTTGAAAATGGTATTTGTTTAAATTATTTTTAATATATTCATCTAACGAATTAATTAACTGAAAGTGGGTCAGGACAAGGTCCTACTCACTTTCGTGTCCTATTCACTTTTTCACTGTTCATGGATGAGAAATCTTACAATTCTCATATAGAAATCTTATATTAAGTTTTGTACTTTAAAAAAATTTTTGGATGTCGTTTACTTTACTTTGTGAATTGCCATAACTTTTTTGAAAACTAATGATAAGCAAGTATCATTACAATCAGCACTCAACGATGCATTTATCATATTCGCATAGAAGCTTTTCTAATCAGTGAACTACAGGGAAATGTTGTCAAGATCCTCATGGTTTCGAAATTATTTCATAAACCATAAATTACTGAAAGAATAGAAACAGTGAATCTGCTGTAGTTTCATAAACCATAAATTACTGAAAGAATAGAAACAGTGAATCTGCTGTAATCACCGCAGGATCAATTCTGAAATAGACCTTCAAAACAGAAGCATAGCTCTCTCCGAATGATGGTGGAATTTTGGCATGGATTAAGAGGGTTATCGTTGTCTATCCATTGCTGGGATCTTTTCATTTTGTCCTACAGATTTTACTTTTTGCCATATGTAAAAAAAATTCGTTCAAGATAAGGATCGTGTTTGTGTCGTATTAACAAGGAAAATAGTACTCTTACAAATGTATTCTTATTTGATGCTCATTCAGTTCGTAAATGCGCCATTTTTTGTTTCTTCCTCACGGCAGGAGCAGAGCGGTATACGTCAGCCAATTGGGCATATAAAAATAAGAATGAAAACAGGCAATACCAAAACCGAGCAAAAAAAAAGATCTGAATTTCTTGGAAGATCCAATAATTTTATTTTCAGAATTTTATCTCTTTTTTTCAATTTTTTCTATTTTCATTGACTTTTACTTTAAATTGAACATTGAAAACTTAATGAGAACTTAAATGAAAACTTTTATTAAAAATCAAATCATATTTTTTAAAAATTCCTTTTTTATTTTTGTATTTTTCAAAATTCACATGAATTATTTGTGTTTGATTTTTATTCCGTTTAAATTTTTTGCTTAAATGTAAATTCTTTAAAAAGTTTGCTTTCTTTATAATTTTACAATTATAATTTTAACATTTATTCCACATTTTTTCCTTTTTTAATTAATATCATTTTAGTTTCGATATATTTTGGTTTGAAATTCATATTCATTTTTTTTAGCTTCAACTTATTTTAATAATCTCACACCAAAGTTTTATGTGGCATTAACTGGAACATCAAGCCTTGTCTCTGGGATTATATTAATTTTTGAATGGTGGTATTTTAAAAAGTTAGTTTTTCCTCTTAAAACAAAGGATCTATGAGACTAAAGGAACTTTCACACTTTATTAAACTAAAATAAATATTCTCAGTAATTCTGGCGATAATGGATCCAACAGTGAAGATGGCAGCGATGATGATGGTGTTGATCAAAGAAGTCGTTCTGTGCCAGGTCCCTTTTCGTTTTTTTAAGCAGCATTTCTTTTTTGTATAATTCATTTCTAATTCATAATTCATTTCTTAATATAATTTATTTTAGCTATCTTATTTGGCTTTTTATATGTTCTCATCCTTTTTTTTTATCTTTATTTCTTTTTTACCATTTTTTTAAACCTGTTTTAAGTGTGTTTTCTTATAGATTATATTAAGGAGTATTTTGCTCATTTTAAGAGATAGAATGTCCCAGTGGATTGTTGCTGGAGCGCCGATGCTGAAATTTCATTAACCTGTCTCACCAAAAAAAAATTTGCGTGCTACTGGCGATTCGCCTAAAATAAAATATTGTATTTCTATTCAAAACTGATTTCATGATGAGCGCTCTTATAAAAAACTTTCAGAATGCAAAGTATGGCGGAATCCTTTGGCACTTTTTCGTGGTGCAGAATATCAAAGATATACAAAAATGACGGGCAAGGAACCGCTAACATTTTATGATATGAATTTATCAGCACAAGATCATCAGAACTTTTTCACATGTGAAGCAGATGCTGGTAAACAAGATTATGAGAGTGCGTATTTGCACTCTTCACAGATTTTTGCATATATTATTTCTTGAAATATCGTAATTTTTGGCCATTGAAACCATTTTTAAATATTTTTTATGGGAATTATTAAAATAGTTAGAAAAGAATGTTTAAAATACAGGAAAATTTCAGTTATGCAGATTGCTTGGCGAGAACGAGATAGCTATTCTCGTATAAATGCTGCATATAAAGCATTAGATATTAATCAAGAATGCGTGCCAGCTTTGATTCTTTTGGCTGAAGAAGAATGTGAGACTATTCTTGAGGTTGAGCAGATGTTAAAGTAAATTTGATTTTATACTTAACCATGTGGTTAATTCCGTTAATTCCGTTATTATGCATCAGCATTTGGCGTTCATCTTACAAACAATGCTAAATCTCAATTTTTTTGGCTTGAAAAAAAGTGAATTAGGAAAGTTATAATCCATTTATTCTTGTCAATTAATTAATTTCAAGAATATAATTCTCCAAAGAAAAATTCTACATTTCATTTATAATGATACTTATTGTTGTTTTTTTTTCTATTTAGAAAGGCGTTGAAAGCTGCCGAAGTAATTTATAAAAAAAATCAATCTCATATTCATTATGATTTAGCCAATGACCCCGTTCATAGTAAGTTTAAACGTTTTTCAGAGGAATATCGTAAAATTTTTTCTTTTTTCTGCTTTTTTTCATTGTAATTACTGTCAAAAATAAGTTTAAATGATTTGCAGAAATTAAATCATTTATTCACTTAGTAATTTCTTAGCAAAATATATTCTAGGGCGTGATGTAAATTTGGTGGTTTATATTAGGAGAAGATTGGCGATGTGTGCAAGACGTCAAGGGAATTTACGTGAAGCAGCGAAAATGATGCGTGATGTTAGTGTTATTCATATCAGTTTTCCTGGTATATAATTTGTTCATAAATATTTCTGCCTTTAAATCGGTATATGATATCCTTTTTTTGGCAGCAGAAATAGAAAATTTTTAATTGCAAAAAATAGAAATCAATTATTTTTTATTTTTTTGAACAAAAAAAGGTGAAAAAATAATCCAAAAGTGGTATTAAAAGAAAGTTTGCATTTATATTTTGTGAGGTTTTGATGATTCGAATTTAGCTCATCAAAGATTTTCCTTCATTGAATGTAATGAATATTCACGAAAATCTTATTGAAATTTTGCTGGAACAACAAGCATATGCTGATGCCACTGCAGTGTTAGCCAAATATGATGGTAGTTTTTATTTTTTTATATTCAATATTCAATGTTATATCCGATATTCATTATTATATCCGATTTTTTATTTTTCATAAATCACTGATTATTCAATTTTTCAAAAACTTTTTTTAGATATAAGTTTGCCCAAATCAGCAACAATATGTTTCACGTCGGCTCTGTTAAAAGTGCGAATTGTCGCAGACAAGTAAAATATTTTGTCCTTTTGTTTGTTTGACTTTCAGATTGCTATATTATATTATACTATATTCTAAATTGATTCTAAATTTGCTTTAATTTCATGGGAATAGTGGTATTTTATAGATTCGCACCTGATTTTGTTATGCGCCGAGGATTTAGTGCGGCTGAATTAAATGCTGTAGATGCGATACATCGTGCTGTTGAGTTTAATCCTCATGTGCCGAAATATTTGCTCGAAATGAAACCATTAATTTTGCCACCTGAGCATTTATTAAAACGTGGCGATTCTGAAGCTATAGCTTATGCCTTTTGGCATTTGCAACATTGGAAACGCATCGAGGGTGCTCTTTCTATACTGCAGTGCACATGGGAAGGAAGTAAGAACAGAATTAATAATTTTTCAAAGATATTCTGGAAAGATGGGCAAGGACACTATTCGCTTAATTTGGGATAACTTATCTTGATAACGGGTTTTTGAGAACATTTCACTGATAAAGAATTTAAAAAATGTGGGTCAGAATCAGTGCCAGTGTAGCCGAGCTAGCAAACCAATCATGGATTAGTCATGAATTTTTGAATTTTAGAATTGTTGAAAATTATTCAAATATTTGATGGTTGTTGAATTTTTAGCTATTTTTAACCCTGTTTCAGCGTTTCAAATGATTCCAAGTCCTTTGGAAAAAGGAAATCTTTTCTATCCATATCCAACTTGTACTGAAGCAGCTGATCGTGAGCTTTTGCCAGGTTTTTTTTTTAGGTTTTCTTACCAGTTATAGTTGCACGAATTTAATGATTTTTTTGATATATTTACCATATTTTTTTGATTATTGTATTTATTAAATATTCTAATTTATTAAATAGCGATAGCAAACTTCATATTTCTTCTTGAATCTAATTAACATTTTCATTTTCCAGCTTGGCACGATGTATCGGTCTATCCAAAGCGTGATTTACCTTTTTTCACAGTTTTTACAGTTGTATTATGTCTTTTAACGGCATTGATGGCGATTTTTACTCATCGACTTCCAAAGGTTAAGGTTTGTTTATAAACCACTAAAGTATTGTCCATTGTAATTTTTTATTTTCCAATTTATATTTAAAAAATCAATGGTAGTTTTTTGCTGATATCATTTTTTAAAGTATCTTATTATTTTTTAACTATTGTTGATAAAAAAATATATCCTGTTTAAAAATTACAACGTTTTTTGTTTCTCCATATTTGCATATTAATTTTATTAAAATAAATATCTGTTAAAATATCTGTGAATAGAATGTATGGATTTTCGCAAATTTTACTGTTAATCTTTGGAAATAATAAAAGCTCTTCAATTTTATTTATTCAGGAATTGATTCACCCATTTTCATCTGTTGGCAGTATATTCTATGCAGTCATAGATTGCCTCTATAATCTGATTCCAGAAAATGCAGTAAATCTTCTTGCGTCAAAGCCTATCACACCACCACAAAATGATGCAGCCAGCTAAATATAATTTCATTTCTGATTTAAATTATTCTTAATAATTATTTTTATGGAGATGGGTTTTGTGTTTAAAATTTTACTTTACTTAAATATTTCTGGAAATAATAAATTCGAAGAAAAAAAAATCCGGCTTATTTGATTTGTAAATAATGTGAATATGAATAAATAAATAAATAAAAAGTAAAAATAAAAAATAGGTAAGAAAAAACACTAGAAAAGTATGAATAGGGAAGAAAAACTGTCGCTGAAAAACATTTTTGAAATTCATTTATTCTTATCCCACTATCCATATTTAATCTATTTTTTAATCTATTTTCACTTGATTTCTTTTTTTTTGCAGGGGTTGTGGGAGGGGGGGGGGGGGGGGGGGGGGGGGGGGGGTAGTGGGAAGGGAAAAACATTTGATCTCATTTTGATTGTATGTTGTGCTGCCAATCCAACTGTTCGTTTTTCGTTTTTTATGGTGTATTCAATAAATTTTTATTTTTATTTTTCAATTCAATATTCTAGTTTTTCAATCCAACTATTTCTTGAAAGATTGATAATGGAACACGTTCTTACAGTAATTATTAACCTTTTATAAGTTTTATATAATTTATCGATAAAAATCGGTAGTGGAAATTATTTTCAGCAATATTTATTGTAAAATCCGTTTTATGTTACTTCGTCAGTTTTTTTAAATTGAGAAGTAGGGGTGGGGGTAGGGAGTGCGATATATGCACATCTCATTATTTCCATTCTTTTTCAGAAATTTTAGGCAAATTTTTATTTGTCATCAAAAATTTTCGATTTACTTGTATTTATAATAGAATTTTTAGTTGATGAATATAAGCGAAACTCGGAAGTTTGTTGAAAACATTTCTAACGATTTAAGAACGCTATCAAGTGAAGCAAAGAAGAAACATGTACAAATAAAGGAGGTGAATTTTTTATTGCTCTCTTTTTCGGTAATCTCAATTGTTATTTTTTTACACTAAAGATTGTTTTCCTGTGAGTGACATTTAGGCTGCCGAGTCTGGTTTGGTGAAAGTTCGAAATATAAGCTCTATCTCAAATGAGCATAATTTGTCATCGAATCTGCGTTCAGCAAGCTCAGAGCTATTGCATCCTTTATTAATTGGGTGCTCTAGTAAAAATGCTCGTTTAGTACAAATTTCGCTGCAGGCTATTCAAAGAATGATCCAGCAAAAAGTTATAGATAAGGTAATTTCAAACCCTTTAAAGGGCACCTTTTTGATTCACCTCTCAAGAATTGTGTCAGAAAGACCATTTCTGTCCGGAATTTTTTTTTTAGACATCCGCTACCGCAGTTGTTAATGAACTGTGGAATCTCATGGAAGCAGAATGCGAAGAATTGCGTATTTTACAAACACTTACTCCTCTGGCACCTTTTTGATTCACCTCTCAAGAATTGTGTCAGAAAGACCATTTCTGTCCGGAATTTTTTTTTTAGACATCCGCTACCGCAGTTGTTAATGAACTGTGGAATCTCATGGAAGCAGAATGCGAAGAATTGCGTATTTTACAAACACTTACTCCTCTGGTTAGCACAGAATTACTTATTACCGGACAATGGCTGGCTAAAGTTCGTTTTTTATAATTATTTTATAGAGTTTTTGTGAAAATTTTCTTTTCACACCATTTATATCGATATTTTTGCAGAAATTCATTTAAAGCTATCATGAAATTAATTAAAATAATACAGTGGATGTCATTATAGATAATTAAATATAAAAAATGGAATGAATTTAAAAATTTACTATTATTATTTTATTATTATTTAATTTTATTATTATCATTTAAAAATTTTTATTATTAAAATAAAGTGAAAATATACGTTATATGTGTTATAACCAGATGGTTTCAATTTTTTATTTGTTTAATTTTCATTTAAGATTATTCTTTTTCACTTTAGTGCCTTGTTATATGTTTTCGGCTAAAATTTGCTAAAGATCATATTGTCATAAACACGGCGATGGCAACAGTGAGGCACTTGGTTATGAGTGTTTTTGAACGTGTCATACAGGTTTCCTTCGATTTTCATTTTCGATTTTAGAAATTTTTCATTGTGAAAGGGATTTATTCGAATTTTTCATTGTTTATGATAATTTTCCCATATTTTCGTGAAGATATTTGTCCTTATAAATTCATTTAATTTAAATTCGTTATATTTTAAGTTTCCCTTAATTCATTTTTTTTCTAGGATATACATTTTATGCAAAATATTGAATTTTTTTTATAAGTCATTAATGAATTGGTATATCGATCAATTAATATATATTCTAGGAAGATAGTTTATTTACAAATCCAAGTACTACATATGCACCAGGCAAAAATTGTTCAAAATCACCTCCATCAACATTGAAGCCATGTGCTGCAGATGCTTATATGCTTTTCAAAGTATCATTTTAGTTCTGCATGGCATTTGATTTTTTCACTTTTTTCGAAAAAATTTCTAGGACTTGTGTTCATTAATACATGGCGAAGCCCCACTGTGGCTTATTGGAATTCAAGAAATGACGAGAACGCTTGGCTTAGAACTGCTGGAATCCGTTCTTGCTGGATTTCCATCTATTTTTTTCAAGGTTCTTTTGGTGCAATTGATATTTCTACTTAATTATCATTTATCATGGTGTTATCGAAAAGATTTTATGGGAATATTTTGGAGCCACTGTATCTATTATCAAAAAACTGTTGAAATGAGATAATGTATAAATTATATTTGTGTTTCTTTGAATTCCAATGATCGTCTTTTTGCAAGTTCGATTTTCTCTATTGATAAGACTTTCTTGTTTTTTATGGAATACATTATAATTTTTAGTATTTTAACATTGGCTTTTTGGCCAGTTGTTTTTTAAGATCCTTTTTAGCATGAAGAATTTACTCGGTTGCTAAAAGACCAAGTTTGCCCACTTGTCATCAAACTTTTTGCTCCAAGTCATAAGCATATTCAGGTAAAATTTTTTTTTAATTTCCAGTTAATAATGAATTCCAATCCATCTGTTTTTCTTTTTATTTCCTATAAATTTAATTCATTTTTGAGATTACTTCACAGCATCCACAGTCGTCAACATCACGCCAGGCTATGGAATCAGTTGCAATCGGTCAGGTTTCCGGATCACCTGAACGTCCTTATTTTCCGATATTTATGCGACTTCATCGCATCGTCAGCGTGCTCGTGACCAATTTTTTTCAAATATTGGTAATTTTTTTTCAAATTTCGATTGCAAATTCCAAAAAAAATTGCTTAAAGATTTTGTGGATAAGCAATTCCTTTTAAATTTTGGAACTTTTTCAATTTACTTTTAAATATTTTAATTTTATTCTTCTTTTAATAGCTGTTACCATTACTGGTTTGGTCGACCACTTTGGCTGCAAGGGTTAAACGCTTGCAACTTATTCAATCGATACTATTGTTGATAGTAATAGAAGTTTTTTCATCGTCTAAATCCATTTATTGCTGGTCCATCTACACATCCACAAATTTTCGCGGACTATATCAGTCCAGGTCTTGATTGACCCACCTAGCTTTTCATGTCAATTACTACAGGATTTAGCAAAAAACGAACTATGGTGGTCGACGAAGAATTTTCTCTAACCAACGCTCTGTGATTGTAATATTAATTTAGGTGGTTTGAATCAAGGTGGATGCATTAATGTGAAATTTTTCATTCATGTCCACGCGACAAACTTAAAAAATTTATTTACACGTGAGTGGTCAAAAACAGATAACTTTTCAATATCTTTCACTTTCATTGGCTATATGTCTCAGCCATATAACGAGATCGAGCGAATCGCAACTACATAAACGCGGACTTTTGCGTTGATTTCACGATGCATCGTAATGGTTTCGCCAATGGGAAGAATACCATTGCTTGGGTCGTTCGTCTTTCGTTTGGCCGTTTGGGATTAGAATAGAATCAAGATACTTAAAATCGGAATCGAACATTTTCTCAACCAGTGATGATAAAAATATTTTGTTAACTTCTGGTATATAAATCGAAAGGCTTTTATTTCATTTATATTGATTTTGAGTCCAGTTTCTGCTACAATTGTCGACATATTGCTTAGAATTATTTGCATTGCAAAAAGGACTACATCATCAGTATATTCAAGATATGTATACGATCCTGTGGACTAATTTGTACATCTCTTGAGTGCCGAAAAGCGATATCCATTACTTAGTCTAATATTGTAGAAGAAAGGAGCCTTGATTGGTAACAGTTTTTATTTCAGTTTTTAGAAGGTATCTGTAAGTTCGCCATATATACAGGCCTGTACGTTGATAAAGTTTTCATGAATCGAATCGAATATAGTCATATCTTCCATAGCGCCATTCTATCAATTAAATCGAAAGCAGCTGCAAAATCATTGAAACAACTGACGGTGGATTGCCATTATTTGAAGCGATGTTCCAAAATCCTCCTTAATGTAAATATCACAATCACAACTATCGTGGTATAAATCGAGCATAATTAGGGACCCTATCGTATCCCGTTGTCTCATACGGTCATAAATCTATTCACTAGAAGAGAAGCGAAAAATTTTTTAGTTATATCTAGTAGGCTGTTTCCTCAATAATTGGCACAGTATGTCTTGGCTCCTTCTTGGGAATTGGAAATGGATATTATTTCTTCCATACTGACGATGGACCAAACCTGAAGATTTCGGCTGGAAGACCATCTTCAGGAGCTTTATTGACCTTAAGCTTCTGGATAATAGAGGTTGTTTCCTCGTCTTTTGATGATTCGAACTTGCTGATCACTTGTCCGGCATAACAGATGGCCTATCGTGGCATCGAAGAATTCCTTCCATCTTACAAGGTTATCCTTAATAGCCTTAACAGATATAGATTATTACCTCGCATCACTTCACACCGTTACATAAGATATGGATGTTCTATGAAGAAGGTGAAATAATTTTCTGCCTAATCGAGCAGCCATCTCTATTTTCAAGGCCAAACGGCGATCTCTGTCCCGTCTTGTTGCTGTCGTTTATTTCTTTGAAGCTTCCGCAGGGTCTCCTGATATTCCTATTTTGACAATCTCTTTGAACATTTGGGTAATTATTTTCGATACGCTACTAATAATTTCTTACTAATAGCATGTCCTAGCGAAAGCGAAAAAGGCTTTTGCCCATTGGCGCATCGATGCCATGTTTCCCATTTGTTGAGTTTATCGCAGCAACATAATTGTGTTATTGTGATGTCATTTTTTGTAGAGATATTGTTAGTAGTTGTTGTTCCACATAGAAATCATCGCGGTCATCTGCGCATAAAATTGGAACATATGCTGATGAGCGAAATATTGCAGAATTTTCCTGTGGCATAGGCCATACGGTCTCCGGCAAGCAGGGGACCACATTTAAAAAAAATAGTGACTATGATTGCTTGGCTTGGGTTGGTAAGCTTTCTGACAGTTCTAAGCTTTTTTTTATGGCTAACACCTCGCCGCGCATGCAGATAGCCGACGGACAGTTTCTAATTTCTCCTTGATTGATTACGAGTAGTTACTCTGACTCACGAGCACATCTTATGAATATCATGCGTCTGAGTACACAGATGCCATTGCAGAAAGACGGCCCTTTTACCATAGATGTTAATTGGAGAAAAAGTTACAAGTGGATCTCCCGCAGTCACTCGATTTTCGATATCATGACAAGTTCGGCCATCATTAAGGAAATAAAAATTAAGAATAAAGAAGAAAGAAAATTAAGAAAAATAATGAAGGAAAATAAAAGGTAAAATAAAATATGGTTGAGAAACCTTTAGAAGTTTCGAAAAAATATTTTACAGTAATAATAATTAATAATAATCGATTAACATGAGCAGATAATTGACACGATCGGTCATAATCAAGCAGTGTAATAGTTTCATATTTTAGCTAACTGAATGTGAAATTTTTCTATCGTTATTAGTGAAATTTCTGGAATCGGACAAGTTTTTATGGCAGCGTGCCATGGCTCTTGAGGTTCTTCACAAAATCGTGGTCCAACCCGATTTACTTGCGTATGTTTTTATGCAAATATTCTCAAGTAATAAACATGGAAAATTTTATTCTCATGTAACAATTTGAGGTTTCAGCAATCATGTTATTCAATGTATATTCATTGCATATTCATTTGCTAAAAAACTGGAAAATTTTTTATCCACTAAAATGTTATGTAGAATATTCTATTATTCTATTATGTAGAATATTCTATTTGTATTTATATGTCTTATTTTTCGAACTGTTCTCATTGTCCTAAATGAGTCTTCTTTGAATTCATATAATAATGAATTAATAAATAAATCGTCACGATTTTTTGTAGATCATTTTGTAAAAATTATGATGAGCGCCCAAACTCTAACAAAATAATTCAAACCATTGGTTACAAACTGTCAGCATGTATGCAGCTATGTTTGTTATATCCTGATGTTAATGATGGTGAATTTTTCGCTGTTATTTTCATTTAGTCTTTTGTTTCCTAAATATCTGTTGATTTCAAATACAGGAATATTTAAAAGTATTCAATAATAAACACTTGTAAATGTTTTTTAATATTTCAGCAAAAAAAGATGATGGGCAATTTGAATCGAATTGCCAAGCTGCTGAATCTTCTGGCTTCGTTTGCAAGGGTTTTTGGATTCCTCTTTATCAAAATATTTCTCGCAAAAAGTCTATTTTGTAGGTTCAAATTTTTGGTGGCATTTTTTAGGTTTAATCATCGATGTTTGGGCTATTTCTCATTATCATTTAAATATCATTTGAAAAAGTTTTGGGGATCAAACAAAAAAAAATTTCTTTAATATTTTCCATCCAGTCAATCAGTTCCAAGATCAGTTGTGTCTATAGTTAACTATTATATTGATTATTTTTATAGACTGGATTCACTGGAGAAACATGAAGCTATGAATTTGCCAGAAGGCTATACATTGTCGTTAGCATATGCTTGCATTACCGATTTCTGCCAAAGTATCTATCAGATAGATGAATCTATGGGTGAACACTTTTTTGGAAGCGGTTTTTGTTGACTTTTCATTATTAAGATCTTTATTGTAGATTTTTGCTAATAATTTTTCTTCTTCCAACAGTAAGCACAATACTAATTATGCTTGGCTCTTCTAGTCATATTTCCAAGTCGTTTGACTCGGTACCATAGAATTAACCGAAGTAAGTCTACCATCTAACATCATACCATCCAAACTAATGTATCTCTGGGTCGTCTATATGCTCCAAATTGGGCTCTTCTGGATGCGAATCTTAATCCAAATCTTCATTGATCATCCTATTAATATCATTCATCATAAGGCTTGGCAAAATATGAGGTATATAGCGATTTTTGTGATGGGCATGGCTTTACTAGCGTATGCAACGGTTTATAGCGATATTAGGTGCTATTAGGAGCAAAATTGGGCACAATTGCTGGAGGCTTTATCTACTTGAGCGTACAAAATTTAGCATAGGCATGGGTAATTAAAGGTATATTTAGTATATTGGTGATATATTGTTACTACTGCTGGCAATATTTCGCAGACTTATGAGGAGGTAATGCACAATGCTATCGGATTGATAGACTTTTGTTTTGATGGTGACTTCTTAGAATTCTCGCCACAAAGGAACGTTCCTAGTATTTTTCTCCTTTCGCTCGATGATTTGGTATTGGAATGGACTCAAAATATTTATTTTAAAATATTTTAAAAACCAGTAATCAAATTTCAAATATTAGAATGAAAGAATCGAAAGATTTTTCAATTTTTTAATGCTTGCTTCCATTTTTTTCTTTTTATAGATGTTTGTAAAAGTATTTTCGAATTGTCCTATTCAAGTTTATTGGCTGCTTTATCCATATTACTTGATGCAAGGTATTTGAATTTAAACTAAAATTTCTTTGTATTTCGAACTTTGCGCTTAATTTCCTTATCGAATTAATTTAATTAATTTAGCATAGACGAATCGGTAACAGATCATATTCTGCATTCTTTCTCGATCATTGTTTCATTAGCATGTCGTCTAGGCCATGTAGTTGGTCGTGATGCTGCAATATTTGTCTTGTGTAAAGCAGGTCTGCCATATAATTATTTTATTCGAGTTTTTGGAAATACTGGTGGTTTAAATTCGTTATCTGGATTGGTTGATACAATTTGTACAGTCGATGCTTCATGTAACTTTTTTGTTTATTATATTTTTTGTTATATTTTTATTAGTTAATGATTTTGTTGGATTGATGAAAAATCCTCGCAGTACTGGTTTGCTTGAAATTTTAAGCTTTAAAAAATGTTGGTGACAATGAAGGTGATTCGTCAGTTGGACCGTTGAATCATATTGTCGCTGTTGGAACGCCATGTCCTACCCCTTTTCTTCCAGGAAACTTCTTTGGACAATCTGTTGTGGTTTGTTTATCAAGCTGCATTAATGATTGAATGTTATCTTTCAACAATATTTTGTTTGTCTATTGCTTTATTTACTTTTTTTTATCGACAATATTATGTTTTATAATAAATTTATAGGTAACAGCAAAAAATATCCAAGTATTTCGAGTCTTAATTAACTGTTTACAAGAAAATGGGTTGTATATGGGCGATTGTTGGCATCTGACGCTGGCTTCGTTGCAACATTTGATTTGGATTCTTGGAATGAAACCGTGTTTACTAGAAGGATTTCGCACCGATGGTTTTAATCTTCGTTATCTGCCAGCATTTAAATTTTAGGACTTTAAGGATAGAGCCATTCTTGTCGTAAATCATAAAATCTATTTTTTTAGTGTTTACGTTTAGGCGATGGCATTGATTCATCTTCTTTAATATCAGGGCAACATAATTCGAATATGTTAACGACTACCGTTATGACGGAAGTCCCAATTATGGTAATTTGCTTTAATTAACTGCGATTTTTTATTTGTTGTGCCATGAAACGCACAATTATCAGAATAGATTTGTGAATAAAATATTTCATAGACTGCGATGCTGAATAAATTGTTTGATTCAACAGTATTGCTCGATGATGTCGCTTTGCACCATGTAATTGCTGCTCTTTGTAAATTATCAAACGAAGCGATGCAGGTATTAGTTAATTAGTTTATTTGCATAAAAATTTTCAAAATTCATGATCTTTTCTTTGTTTAACTAATGTGATTTTTAATTCAAAAGTTATTAGCTATTTCATTAAATTCGAATTTGTTCATTCGATTTTTGATTTAATTATTTTTATTTCATTCAATTAATCGATTTAATAGTGATTTTTTTCATCAATAGGTCTCTCAGAGCGGTTCAAGAGAACCTTCATTTTTTCCTATCGCAAAACTGAGACAAACTGCCTTAGTCAACCTTTCACGGATCGAAATATTTTGGAAGCCAGTTACTGCACATCTCATTGAGGTTAATACATAATAATGTTTTTTGTTAAAATGTTTTTTGGTACGTAATAAAAAATTTCTTCTTTACAGATTTCTGGTCATCCTTATTCAAAACTTCGTGAATGGGGTGCCGAAGCACTAATGACTTTAATTCGAAGTGCAATGAAAGCAAATATAAATGGTGATGATGTGGTGAGTTTCTTTAATTTTATTTTATTTATATTATATAAATATAATTATTTATTTGACTTTATTTAATCTTTACAAAATTCATTTGGTTAATTTTGATTAAGATAATTGTTAAAAAAGCTATTGAGAAAATAAGTACATTAATAAACTAGACTTTTGTTTCTAATCAGATATCAAATACATATAGCGAATTAATCAATAGGTATAATCAAAAGCAAAAACATAATAGAGATCTGATGCCAATTCTTATTCGGTATTTGCCGATATGTTATAATATGCTAGACATTCTTACAAGCCAATTATCATTAGCCAGGAATAAAATACGAATATACAGCAGTTGCAGCATAGCGTTTTTGATGTAAACATTATGTTATTGAAATGACAATTTTCCAACTTTTTAACTATTGCCGATTGTGGCATGGTTTCCTCAGAAACTGGATGATCTTTAGTGGTTATTGGTAGCCTGTGGATATATCAAGTTGGCGGATCCTAAATAAAATGGCTATTTGTTCATCAGGAATATATATTAATAGGCGATAGTTTATGATATATTTCTGCAAGGATAGTACGAACTTCTTCTGTGAGACATATTTGGCCTGTCATTATTCGCATCGTATTTTTTATGATTCTGATCAAGCATTCGGCATTCTTCTCTTATTCTTCAACGTTTATACTTAGTAATCGGCTGTGGAATGTTATGATTATTTCAATCATTTTTAAACGCGTGCTCCTTAACTAGATCAGAAATGTTAAAAAATTACCATGTGACGATTAAAAATCAGTTGGACTTAAACAATATCGGATTTTCTCATATGCCATCATTGAATCTCATATTTTTACACCGATAATACAAAAGAGTCGACTAGGGACTTAATGTCAATAAAATTCCTCGATGATAGTCTTTGGGTTGAAATTTTTAAATTTTCAAATCGTCATTCATAATACATCTTCAATGAATATACTCTCTGGTATGGGATAGAAATAATACCAAGTGGCTGGAGTAAAGCTGGATTCAGACCAGGACGTGGTTGTGCTGACCAGATATTTTCGTTAAGAAGGATTTTGGAATATGGCTTCAAATATCAGTAACCTACCATCATTTATTTCGAAGATTTTGCTCTGCTTTTGATTTAATTGGTAGATTGGCGCTTTGCAGAGTGATGCATTGTTCCAAAGATCATTCGACTAAAAAGTATTCATAAAAAGATCATTCGATAAAAGCATTTTATAAACATATATTGGTACAAATCTATGTACATGGGGGGACAGATTTTTTTGACGTAAGAACAGGTGTCCGTTAAGGTTGCTCCTTTCCACTACAATATTTAGCTATGCGGTAGAATGCGATAGAGTGTATCTGTCGTTTCCAAAGATGCATAAATCAGTCCAGAGCATCGTATCTTGAATACACCGATGATGCAGTCCTTTTTGCTGATAGTTGCAATGATATGCAAATAATTCTAAACAATGTGTCGACAATTGCAATGAAAGTGATTCATGGTCAATGTAAATAAAACGAAAGCCTTTTCTTTTTAAATGCCAGAAGCTGATAAAAATATCCATTTTTACGAATTTAAATTCGGTCGAAGATGCGCCAACCTTTAAATATCTTGTATCCATTCTAATCCCAAATGGCCCAGCAAAAGACGAAATTACAATCTGGATACGTTAGGTAGAAATGCATTCTTCTGATTGACGAAACCTTTATGGAGCCGTCGTGAAATCACCATCAAGACGAAAGTCCGTGTCTATGTAAGCCGCGATTTGTTCAATCTCGTTATATGGCTACGAGATATGGCCGATGAAAGTGGAAGATATTAAGTTATTTACCTTTGACCACTCATATCTAAGGTACATTTTACACATTCGCCGAGCTGATAAAACATGATTGCTTTAGCTTGCATTAACAATGCTATCATAAAGTCTTTGCCGGTTAGGACACCTTTTTTATCACATCACTGTCACTTTACATTACTATATTTTTCGCTACTTGCTAGATTCTGTGATGGATGGCGTCAAGGCCAAGGAGGAGGGTGAGCGAAGACGTGGACTGGCATAGTAAGGAAAAATTTTGATATAGATATAGATAGAAATGAACCAGAAATATATAGACTAAACAGTGGAAAAGGAATGGTTTCCATTACTGTTAGCGATGACATCGAATCGAATGATTTGGAAACCTTTTTACCCTTGTAACCTGGGGAACTAGCCTAACCAGTATTGGTGAGAACTTTTAGATAAAAGTTCTCCCACGGTACTCTTTTTGGGAGATGTGCCATGTGGAAAAAACAGGTAAATTGATAAACTGAATAACTAAATTTAACAGAAGATGCGAGTATTATAATTAGGAAAGGTTTTCTTTAATCTATTTACCAAAACGCAAGACAAGAACAGGTGCGGAAACTGATATTAAACTGGTACTTATTTAATATTTTTTGACCGTGATATCATGATGTTTGTATATATATGTATATATACGATAAAGTATCAGTTATTTCGGATGGATTCAGATGAAACAGAAAATAAAAGAAAAGTGGTGCGAAATTAATGGATTTTTTGCTAAACTTTAAAAATATTTTAAATATACTCTTATACTCTTACTTATACTCTTTTAAATATACTCTTACTTTTTACTTATGCTTCATGAAGCGGCAACAATACTTTTACTTTTTTAAGAAACGACAACAATTAATTTTGGTGCCACTTTTAACTGTCTGTGAAATTGAGTATGCTGATGTACGGCGAAAACAAAGTGATTGTCTTCTAAAAATCCTTCAGTCATTTGGTCAGCAGTTAGCTGCTGATCAGTGGCTGATTGTGATTCAAATTGTGGCATCACTCGTTAATGGAAAATTCAGGTAAGCTTAACTAGATGCAATTCTTTTTTCTTCCCTTTGCCTATTAATTTAATTTAATTATTCAACTATCAATTAATTTTTTTCAAATTTATCTTCGAAACAACTGTAACTTTTCTATTTCTGGATGAAGTTCCTCGAAATGTTCTATTTACCTTTCTTATTTTCTGTTTAGGAGGTTATTATTTTGAATGATAATACTTTTTATTCAAAGTGGTGATAACTAATGCCACTTACATAAGTGAAATCATAAATGAATAGCAATAAATATTAATTTAAACAATAGTAATCTTTTCTCGTTTTCGTTTTTCATTTTAGTTTCGATGACTCTTTAATAAAGCTAAGCTATGAAACTATTACACTGATAGTCACGGATTTCCTTGAAATTTTGCCTTTTGATTCGCTACAGGCATTAGTTGAAGCAGATGCAAAATATGGTGCACAGCAATGTGAATTGAATATTTCCTTATCTGCTTTAGGTCAACTGGTAAATTTTTGTTTTGATCCTTATTTTAATTTTTTGGTGAGATGCCATCAAAAATAGGAATTAAAAATGAAAATGCAATGAAAAGTTTTTGATTTTGAGGTTTTATTAAAATAAATTCAAGAATATATTTTATTTCTTTCGCATAAAACTCAAAAATTGATAAAGTTTATTTGTTGTTTTATCTTGTTTTATTCTTTTTTATAATGTATTATTATTTTTCTTATTAGTGGACAATATCTGATTTCATTCACCGAAGAAGACTTAAATTATCTTCCGATGAATGTGAAACTGTTTGGCTGGTATTGTATAACTGTATATCAGAATTATGTGTAGATTCAAGACCTCCAGTGAGGAAAAGCGCTTGTCAAACATTACTACAAACGATTGCAGCGCATGGTCTTGCATTAAGTCCATCAACTTGGAAGCATATGGTTTGGAAGGTGTTTAAAATTTTAATACTTTATTAATTTTGATTTTAATTTTGATTTAATTTTGATTTTCAGTGTTTTCATGTTTTCAAATTTTTTTTAGATTCTCTTTCCGATGTTAGATAAAGTCAGAATTTTGGCTCGTAATGCTTCAACCAAACGTAGTGACAGTTGTATGTTGGGCGCTTCTAATATGCTCATTCATCACTCAAGAGATACCGAATCGAAGCAGTGGGCAGAAACATCTGTGTTAACGCTTAATGCAGTCGTTAAAGTTTTTAATTGTCAGCGAAAGATTTTGCTTACAATGGGTAATTATTCTCATTCCTTTTTATTCTTGTTGATAAATGGATTTTGGCGTACATCTTTTGATTAAAATTGGCCTTTAAATTGCCAGATGTCTTTTCTATTATATCTTTTGTATTTATATAGTAAACCTTTGTTAAAATTGAAATCGCTTTCTTGTATTAGTGATTTTTTTTAATGATTTTTTTCATGAATTTATGAACTTCAGATTCTTCAGATGATTTTTCTGCAGTTTGGTCGAACCTTATGCAGTACATTGAATATTTAGTTGGTTCGAGCAATAGTGAAGTATCACTTGCTGCTACAAAAAGTTTTCAGGTGATTATAATTATTATGGATCTTAATAAATCCTCTTGGTATTTTGACTTTTTTCGCAGTTTTTTGCTGGAACTTTTACCAACTTATAATTAATTGAGGTATGAGTGGCAAATTTTATATTCATTATATTTTTTGTCTCAAATTTAAAATATCACATTTGCCATTCAGGAAGTTCTCCTCGGTAAGATGAATCAATCAGTTGATACAATTTTCAAATCGTCTTCAGCGAGGTAATATTTATAATAATATAATGAATATAAAATTCTTTTTTATTTTTTTTCTTTTAGTGCTTCGAATTTGATGACATCGGACGAATTGCCATTATTACCTGATTCACTTTGGCTATTATCTTGGCAGGCTTGTTTTCAATTTTTGAAAATCTTTTTCCTGGTTAAAATTTTCTTTATTATCTAAACTGAATTTCATATTTTTTGTTAAAACCGTGTGATTTATCGGCATGTTACTGCTAATTCAACATACATCTTTATTTTTTTTTCATATTAATTATTCTGTAATTCTGCATTATATTGCATTACAGGTGTGGATTCGTATAGCGCAATCTTTATTACAGTCCCTGTCTGATGACTTAAAGGTGGAATCGTCATCTTCACTGAAAATGGATCCTCAAAAAAAGTTCCTTTCTACTTTTCAGAAATTTTCTGTCGTTCAATGAATTTAATGGCGATGTCCACATTAATTAGAAAAAAGCACCCATAAATTTTACTAGTTTAATCATACCAGATTAAAAATTTCTAATCATAATTTTAGAGCGAACGAAGTGAATAAAGAAAACATCCCAGGTGCCCAGCATTTCGCAATTATTCTTTTTATTTTTCCTTATGTTTTTGAAAATATACGAAAATCTATTGTTGTTGAAGATTTGAAAGAAAAGGGTATTCTTCATATTCTAAAAGTATGTCAATTGTTTATTCGGTAATAATCATAAAGTGAATTTAAAATTTTATTAAAATTATTAAAATTATTTTTATTTAAATTGTTAAAATTATTAATTATTAAAATTTTAGTTATAAAAATTAGCAGTTTTGATATATTTTGGGAAATTGGTCTATTCGTCAATTGTTCTTTTTCATGATGACAAATAAGTGAATAGCTATTTATTCAAAAATAACGGATCAAAATTTTTTTTTCAAAATATCATTTACTAAAAACTTGTAATTTTATTTTTATTTTAATTTCAGTTTATTATCAATGGTTCATTATTCTTTGAGCAGTCACCCTTCATCCTTCCTAATACTTTGGATCTAACTCCTGTACAAGAAGGTGTTCTGAACTGTTGTCGAGTGATGTATCAAGTGGGTTATTTGTTTTCAAATTTTATGAACTTTATTTTAAAAAATATTTTCAATTAATGATTTTGATAATTTTAAAGATCATTCTAAGTCATCATGCTTATATATATTAAAACTTCATTTTCTTTTTATTCTCAGGAAATGTTGCAATCAAATTCTAAACTGCGATCTGCATTACCTGATCTTATTCGACTATTGATAGATTTCACGCTTCTTTGTATTAGATTACCAAACAGGGAATGTTTTGCATATTTAGAAAATAATGTTAGTTTTATAGTTATTCTCTCAACTTTTCGAAATAATTCATATTTCATTGCTTTTTGAACTTTTCGAAGTTTTCATATTCGTCAAATTTTCCTTTAAACAAAAAAATTTAGATTCATTTTAATATCCAAAATATCATTCCGTTTGCTGAACAATCACTTCGAACTTTAGTGGAATTCTATGCAAATATAGCTCATTACCAGGAAATTATAGAATCTATTGTTTTAGTCGATATTGTTAAGGTATCTTTATTTGCATTATCCTGGTATTCATAATTTTATAATTCTGCTCAGTATTATTTTTTGTATCTGCAGTGCTTAGCCCAACCTATGCAAATGAAATATCGCTGTGCTTCACAAAATTCATGGCGTTATGCAGCATCAGCATTCATTGCTATTTCCAGATTGGGAATTCCAGTTGCTCGCCAGAATGGCAAGTTTTCTCTTATTTTATTTTTATTTTTCGTTTTTTTTCTTATTAAATCTGCGTATAAGAAAAAGCATAATGAAATTTGAAATATGTTTCAGTCCGTCTTTTCAAAGAATTTTGGCCATCATTTGCTGATGCTATAGATCAATTTTTATTCACGCATGGGTATTTTACCAATTTATCGATTTTTTATTTTTATTTTGTACTTTAAAATGGATTTGAGGCATTTCATATCATTTTTTCCTTAAGCTGCTTATTTTTTTTCAGCAAATCGCAAACTCCTTTAAATGTTGACGAGCGTAAACGCCATGAATTCATTGACTGCCAATTTATCGAACTTATTCGAATGGAGGTTATTCTAACTAATTTTCAATGAAATGCATTAAACGCTTTTGGTTACATTGTTGATATAATTTCATTTTTCATTTAATTTTTTGTCGTTTTTTCATATTTTAAATGAAATTTTTTTCTTCGTTAAATAAATAACTCGATGAAACATTGAAAATACATTTAGTCATTGTTTAGTCATTGTTTATTATGAATGCCTCTATATTGTAAAGCTATAATTAATATATAGGGATTATTTTTGGGAATTATTTTGTCGAATCCAGTATATTTGAAAATTTCAGATTCTACCTTATGTAAATATATTACCGTTTGAATTCGTCCAACAAATAATTGATTTATTAAATCGTGGTTCAATAAGTTCAGCTGATTCGTATGATGTGTTAGGTATTTTATATTTTTTTTATTTTTTGGCTTTTTCTAAACTTATGATTTTAGAAAATTTTGGTCATTGCAATCTCTTGACAAGAAATTTATCGTTTCTAAACTTATGTTTAAGTTTTTTTAAAATATAAAAATTGTCATGCATACTATTTATAGACAAATTTGGTGAGTTTTGTTGTTATCATTTCTATTTTAACGAATTTTTTTGTTTCCAAAAATTGTCAGCTTTTTCTTTATTTTCTAATAAAGCGAAATTTATCACTTTGATGGCAGTCAATATTTGATCTTATTCTAGCTTTAGACAATTATGTGCAACGTGTGGACCTTTCTAGAATATGTTTCGATGCATTATTATCGTTAAGTCGCTGTGAAGAGCCTGATATCATAAGTAATGTTAACCCATCGTTTAAAACAGGTAGGAATTGATAGATATATTGTTTGCTTCTTACATTATGATATGGGACAAATTTTTGAAGTCATCTAAAAACAATTAGATATGATCACATTTGCAATCACATTTGCATTTCCATCAAAAAATTTTTGCTTGATAAAATTTTCATTCTTTTTTTGTTCCTAAAAATTTGTTCAAGGACCATGTTTCAATTATGTTTAGAAGTGTTGTTAGACGAAAAAGACTCGGTAAAACGGAATTTGCAAAGCTCGTTCAATACTATTGTTCACAAATCGTCGCCATCGCATTTAGGAAGTTCTGCAATTAATTCTTTATTGACTCGTTGCAAACAGGTTTTTTTTAAATGAATTAACTTTTCTTCAAGGCAAAGCTCTATTTTATTTTATTTTGCGTTTTATTCTTTTTCCCCTTTGAGTTAAATTGAAATTTTTTCGGCTTTTTTTCAGGTTTTAATTTCATTTATTAGAGATGAACAAAGTGCAGGACATATGCGTTTGCCCCAAGAACGGTTGATAGAGATGGTTTCGGTTTTAAATGCAATCAGTACTCTCATTGATACCATCAATAAACGATCTAATATAATGGATTCAGAATTTTTCACGCAGCTTATCAATCTTTACCCCATTCTCGCAGATTGTATCCGTAGTTCCAGAACTGATCTACAAGTTTTTCTTTGATTTTTTCTGATATATCTAAATATATTTTTTGTCATTTATCGATTTCAAGCATGAAAAACATGACGAAAATTATTCCATTAAACTTCATTCAGTGAATTTTCTTATTTCGCTTCATTGTTAAAATTTTTTTTCAGGTTGAACAGGCATTGGTAACTGCATTAAAAAGTTACCAGAAACTACTTTTGCTTCAAATAAAGCACTAAAAATTTGCCCAAGTTGCGAAGATTATCCAATTGGACGGCTTTGTCTTAATTTATCTTAATGATGGTATATTTACAATTTTATGGAATAAATTCAAGTGCTTCGCTAAATAGATCTTATGAAAACATTAATAATTTATAAATTTCATAAATATTACTTTATATGCAATTTACAAATTTACAAATTTAATAAATATGCGGTTATTTTTAATAGCATTTTGTAATTCTTTTCAAATATTTTATTATCGTTATCTATCATTTCTCGAAATTTCAACATAATTGTTTGTTTAAATGATACGTTTCATTGGTTTGAATTTTCTTATTCCTTTGTTCCATTCAAATGAAAAATTTCATTTTCTCAAATTTCTGTCCAATAATTCATTTAAATATTAGTTTGTTTACGGTACACTTCGTTTCTGGCAATTTTTTCATCATTCTTTATTAGTGGGAATTTTTCATATTTTAATGTCTTTGGCTGTTTTTTGAACAAAATATATTGTGCTATTCCTATAAGAGAATTTGCTATTCATTTGTTCATTATCTGGTTGACAGCATATTGTAAATATTGTAAATAGAAATAAATATTTTAATTTTTAGGTATGTAAATATTAAATTTTCTTAATATTCGCATACCTAAGAATTTATTTGCTTTCATAAATGTAATTCGTTTCAGTTTCATGGATTATTTATTATTGTTTTTTTTCAACTTTTATATATTCATTTTATCTTAGCGGCATACATTTGTAAAACATCTTTAATATCTTTCAGTTATATGTGATATGTTTTATAAATTGTGGCATATTCAATTAAAATTCAAATTTCTCCAGCCATAATAATTAAAATGCATTAGTATGTTTATCCGAGGTTTCACCATGAATTATTGCAGAAATAAATATCTTGAGAAGAATTGATGAGTTTCATTTGTTTCATTGGATTTCATTTCCTTGCAATATTTATAGAAAAATTAAAAGGAATTTAAATAATTAATAAGGTAGAAAAAAGTCCGATATTCTAATGATGGATTGTTCACACGCGGAGTGTTGGTTGCATTTCGATTATCGTGGATTTATGTGATGTTGCACTTCCGGCCCGTGATAATCTCAGCGACGAATCCAAGCTCAAACTTACGCTCAAATAACGCCTGAAAAAAGCTATAAATTCATGAAATCGATGCCTTTTAGTGCAATTCCTTTCATCAACAAATTTCCTAAGTTTTATTTTAAGTTTTATTTATATTTTATTATTTTATTTTGCGTAATTTTGGCGTTTTCGTAGGGGTTTGTTACTTCATCGTTGCAGCTATAAATTTCTTGCAGTGAATTGCTATTTTTTAAAAATGGTCCTAAAACCTGAATTGGTAATTTAAATAAACTTTTCATTCTTCAAGCAGTATTAGGTTCGCAACCATCATACAAAAATGGTGGAATTTAGTAAAAAATTATTTTTACATGTTGAACAATTTTTATATAAAATCTAATTTAACCGAAGGATCTTAAAATGATTTTCAGATTGGTAATAAAATCTTGTAATATAGCATTCATCATTTCTGGTTTGTAGCCTTCATTACTTATCATAGTGGAGTCCTCTTGCGGGTCATCTTCGAACAGAAAAAGGTGTGCAACAGGACTCGTACTTCACTACCTGGTGATGGCTTAATGAAATAATATTCGACCTTCCTTTACTGGTAATCTATGAGTAAGCAATCACCTTCTCTCTCGAAAATCTTTGTCGCACCGAAGTAATTCATCCAGTTCGTCGGTACTACTTACAGTAGCGTGAGAGTCACCCACATCTATGTCGTTATCCTTAACAATTATATAATACGCTGTTAACATTGCACCATTATTTGCGACAATTGTTGCTACTGATAGAAATGGTTGAAGATGAGCAAAAATGACTGCTATTTTTGAAACTGTAAAAATTGTTTATGTCAATTTTATTGAAAATATTTTATGAAAATTATGGTAGAAGAAAATTGCTTAATTTATTCGAATGTTTTTTTACAGAATTTTTCGATTTATTTGAATGTCAATAAATAAAAAAATGAAAAGTAAAATACATACGAACGTTTGCATTAAAATGATTTACAGTTAAAGTCATTGTGGTATACACCGCTGTTGGAACTTGTACAATGAGAAACGCTATTGTAACCGCTGTTATTAATATACGAGTTTGATCTCGTGGTGTTCTCCCAAATCGATTACTGCAGAGCATGAATTATTTATTTACATCAGAAAAATCATCCTAAATTTGTGAAATCTCTCCTAGACTTCATTGTAAATCATTACGCACAGGGAAGGTATTTAAAAATTGTTTCTTTTGCATAATCGGAGTTTGCTTTTCCCTCGAGGTAACATAATCACTGGATATATTTATTGAAAACTGAGTAATATGGATAATTTAAAAACGAAGATGCTTTAATGTTGTGCACTTTTCCACAAATTGTCCACAAATATACTAAGTGAGCCGAAAAAATATTAAAAATTCAAAAAATGTTGGTTTTTGATTAGAATTTAAAAATATTTTTAAAGTTTTGTTATTAAGAAAAACCTTTCAAAAATTCAAGTAAAAATTTCAAAATTAAATCAAATATTCAATGTTATTAACTATTAATTTACTAAGTCAAAAATTGTGGATTTTAAGGGTTTTATAGAAATTTATTTGGACAAGTGCTACTAAGTTTTGAATTTTTAGTTGGTTAGTGAAAAAAATAGTCTCTGGGCCATTATCATTGTTCTCCGGAAGTTTACAGTAAATTATTAATCTCAGTTTTTAGCTATTAGAAAAGGTTTTTAAAATAATTTAAGGAATTTCAATCATGTTCTTTAAAATAATGCTTTTAATTGGTTTCGATTTTTGGCACCTCTAAAAAATTTAATTTAATTCCATTATACTCAAATATCACTCGATTCTAAATAGATGGAAGACCTAATTGTACCTGACTCTTATGAATGATAAAGTAAGTCATAATTTTTTTCTGCTGAATTCAGCATTTTCATCCCAGCAATCCTGTCAAGAATTGAAGTCTAAAAATCTGAATTTATACGACCTCTTAAAAAAAATAAACAAACTGTTTATCATCAAAGTCAATGATTGGTTCTTTTATAAATCCAATATGTAAAACGACGAGAAGAAATCCGGGAAAAAGAAATTGAATACAAAAATCTGTTAATGGTAAAGCAATTTTCCAAAAGCGTCGATTTATTATGGTTAACAGAGGACCATCGACTACCATACATCTACTTGCCCAATATGGTCCTGGTTCCGTATCTAAAATTTTCGCTTAATTCTGAATTGTCTTAGGTATTCTAAAAGTTTCAATGGCCTGGTTTCAGCCAATACGTGACAATGCGTGGTAAAATTGGAATTGGATGATTATTGGAATTGAGATTGGGTTGAAATTAGTACCAAGGCAGAATTGATATAAATCAGCGCCATGTTCGAAAAATCGAAGAATTCCTAGTGTCATACAAATAAATATTATCGTCCATATTGCCTTCGCAAACCTTTCAATTGTTCGTAATTTCAACCTACTTCTATGATATTGTGTTAGAAATCTGAAATTTGCTTTTGAAGATTTCAAATAATTTCCTTTCATAATTTGTTGCCACATATTTCATCGATCCACCCATCGTTCCCAGTGGAAAATTAGAAAAATAAAAGATATCGAAAATTAAGTTGAAGAATCAAATTCGCCCTTCTATCTATCATATGCATGGTATATTTTCATGTATCAAATATCTTCTTCTAATATCCTGAATAAATTAAATTTTCGAATCGGAACTATTTTAATTGTTAAAATTCATTGAACATATTGAAATGAAATTTTTCGTCATCTAAAAACCAAAAAATTTTAATTCTTTGATCACTGAAATATGATAATAAAAATTATTGCAACCTTCCACCAGCGAGTAGGATACTAAATAGTGTCATCATCGTATCCACTGCATGCGGAACAGCTTCCATGGTAGTTTGAAAAATATGACACATCGTTATCGAATGATTGAAGCTGCTACAGTAAAAAATTAAAATAAAATCCGAACTAAAATTGATAAAAAACACGATTCATCTTATGAGCTTAATTATCTTGCAAATTTGAGTGAGAATATGATGTAAATTTTAAATTTTGCAAACATGTGATTGGAAATGCGATCTAGGTTGTATTGGTCCTGCATTTCTACCTCCTCCCATAAATTTCCACCACAATAACAGCATCTTAATAGCCACCAGAACCAGTCAAACCAGAAATGGCAAGTGGTGTCGAAGAAGACGATTCAATTAAAGAGCCAAGTCAAGATATTTCTTTGCATTTATTTATAAAAGAATTTTTATTATAATAAATATAATTGTGGACAAAAGAATTAATAATAATAAATATTTTTCAAAGCCAATAATTCTTCTTTTTATTCATTTCTCTGATTAATTAAAAGGTTATTCATAATTTTAAAAAAGTGAATAGCGAAAAATTATTGTTTTAAATAGGATCATACCGAGTTCCGTCGCCCACAATATAATACCATACAGAAAATGGTAAAGGTGAGAAAAGACTGATCCATCCACAGAACAGAAGTAGCCATATCATTTGGTAGAGAGGATTTGGCTTAAAAATTTCAAATATATCATAAAAATATAAATAATTATCATAATTAATGAGCGGAAAAGAGAAAATTGCAAGCGATAATAAATAGCAGTAAATGAAGTAGTAGAAAAGCAATTATAACAAATCGCTATTGGAGATTTTCTAAAAATAACACCAAGAACCAACAAATCTTTGTTCGCCCTCACGTTTTTCTCTTTTTCCCATTCCAAGAAGGACTGCGCATAAAGGTGCAATCAGAGTGACTACAATCATCGGATAAATAAAGCCATAAATGACAATATGCGACCAACTATCATTAAGTGTGCCAAACATGAACCCAGCATTTGCCAATACTTTACATTTTTTCGTTGGGAAATCGAAGAAAAAGCCATCACCACAACAACATTTCGCCGCCTGATGATGAAATTATTGTTCATAACTGGATTTTGTAATCCTATTTGAATTCAATAGTTTAAGGAAATTCGAAATAAACACTTACTCGTTGATCGTCTGTGGCACATTGATCAGATGGTAATATAGAAATATTGTGGATTGTTAAATCCGCATCACCATCAATTTCGAGCACGAACATTAAAGCTCATCAATAATAACATAGATCATTTGCATGAAATATTTTTAGATTAATTTTCTCGCATTAATTTTTAATGACTATAAATGACTATAAATTCATATTTAATACTCCCATACATTTTATCTGCATTGATTAAATATTAAAAATATATATAAGTTTACTACAATAAAGAAGAAATTCCAAGTTCGAATGAAATTTTCGAATTAATGAAAGTAATAGAGAAAAAAAATAAATGATAAAATATGGAATAGATTTATATATAATATCCGAATGTTGCAGGTGATTCTTTCTTTCATTGAATAAAGCCAGCCAAATCAGGGATGGCGAGAGCTTTAGGAGATGATCAAGAAAGAATACAAATGAAGCATAAATGTTAAATAGGGAAATCCTTAGTGCATGCAAAGAAGTATTTAGGTTTGCTATAAATCCAGATTAACTTAAACTTGTAGGTCCAAAATGTTTCCATGAACCCGTTGATGTTGAGCATAATTTTGAGCATAATATATATTTTTATATTTGCAGCATCCGAAATATTTCAAAAAAAAATTAATAGAAAATGCATTCAATCTTTGCAAATGAAGACTGAAATAAACAGTGGAATATTTAAAGTTCGAATTTATAAATTTATTGCGTTAGCGAATTTTATTCTATATGAATTTAGAAACGTTTAACGAGGATGATTAAATAATGAACGAAAATTTTTTTAGGCAATTGCTTTCCCAAATACTGTGATTACTCTCTTCCGATTCTCGTCAAAAATTCTCTAAAAAATATCATTTTATTGCTGATTTCTTGTCAATTTGTCTTATAAAATAGCCTTGCTCCATTCTTGATTCTCGAATAGTTTTTTTTTCGTGTCAATTAACAACATCATTGAAATAAATTCATAATTTCGTTAAAAATAATAAAATAGATAATTCTTTTTTAAATTGATGATAAATTATAAAAACGACCTGCAGTAGTTATTTTCGAAGGAAATAAATGGATATATGCTTCAGGAACATCGAGTGATTCTCAAAGAAAGTAACGATTATCCTTATTGCAACATCGATCTAGTAATTAACCAAATCAGTCAAATGAGTTGTCTTAACAGATCTTTTCTAGTTGAATTGTGAGTTATAAATCCCATATAGATGGCAAAAAGTACCACAGAAGTAGAAAATTTTAAGGAAACAGCCAGCTGAAAATAAATAGTCCAATTAGAATCTTAAAAAAAAAATCCTTAAAGTCTAAACTAAATATCTTACATTTAAAGATCTCTTCAAACTGAATTGTTCAATGTATATCCTCTGAAAATATTCGATTAGTGCTCGATCACTACCAATAACCGCTGATATTTTCCTTGGCGATGACCAGAAAAAGATCGAATTTCACGATTGTCATAAATTCGTCGAAGAAATTACGAAATCAATGAGATAAAGAAAGTGAAAGATTGCAAGGACAAACTAACAATCTACTTAATTTATAAAAAATTTCTATTTTTAGGACAAATTTAGCAAATTCAAATGAAGCAAGAAGATGTTGCGTATGATAGGTACTGATAGATAAATGCTTATCCAAGGATGCAAGAGGATGTTGCTTCTGTTTTTAAAAATGCTATTCATTTTATTTTGCATAAAGGAAATAAGATTTGAAAAACGATTATATGCATTGAGCAAATGAATCTCATTTTATTTGAATGAAATTTTTTTAAACATTAGATATGATTTCCTAAATAAATAAAAATTAAGATTCGAAGTTGAAAGTTTATATTGAAATTAATTATATTAATATATGCGAATTCCTCCATGGATTTTTGAGAAAAATTTCAGTTCTTAAAAATCAGAAAAATCTAATCAACTTAAGGATAGAAATATACGCGAGTTATTATCGCCAATAGTCAGCCCTGTTTGTGGACAAAGTTAGAAGTTGCGCATTATCGTGATTTCAATTTCAGTGAGGCTTACTACTAACGAAGAGACTGGGATATGCATCTGCACACACGAATCTGGCTTCATAAATCTATAACTTAAAAAAAGGAATAATATAAGTTTTCAGATATTCGCATTTCAAATTTTAAACAACAACAAATCTGTAGTTGTTAAATTGTAAAATACTAATATGAATGATGAAACCGATGGATATTAAAAAACCAGGTAAATCTCTCCAAATTGCATGGATTATTATTTCGAGAAAGCAATCACATTCTTTCTTAAAAAATCACTAAGATCTAAGATTACTAAGATCTCTACATTCAATCTACCTCACCTTTTCTATCGTAATCGTAACCAAAAATCATACTTTAATGGCTTTTGTGGAAATAATTAAGTATATTAAAGTAGTAACTGATATCGACAATGAAAATAACGATAATTTTAAAAGAAAAAATTAATATTGACAAGCACAAGCTGCTATAGGTAGCAGTCCATTTAATAATCAACACGTACAAATAGCTATAACTATGATACAGTTCTCGACAATTCTTCATTGAACATTTCTGCCTTAGCATAGCTTGCTCTTTATTCTGGGATGAAGACTTTTTACTAGAAAGTCAATAGAAGAGCATAAGTGCAAGTTCCCCAGCATCACCAGAATATCACTTTTAGATTTGGTACTAAGACCTATCAGCAGGCATAAATCTTAAGCATGATTAATAGTTGATCTCAGCAAAAGCCACTAGGACATAAGGGCACGACGTATTATCCTATCTCAAGCTTAATATCAAAAGTCAAATGCAATATATGAACTAAATGCAAAAATGAATGAGTTTAAATTGTTTAATGGAAAAACCGAAATTGCATCTATATATATATATAATGCATAAAATAACCGGTTAGCGTTCGCTACTTTTGCCTAAATTTGAGCCTTTTACTTTAAATAATAGGATGCGAAATTTTCGCCAGGGAAATACTTGGCGATAGAAGAACAAGATAGAAGAACAGACAGATCATTAGCACCATTCGGAATTGTTAATAATGGATTTGCTCTTCTCAGAAATTTCAGCCACAGCTTTCGAACCCTCCCAATAGACATGATAATTTGACCAACTCCCATGCAGTAAGTCTGTCGTCATATATATGTTTTTTTCTAAGAATAATCACCAAATTATTTTTGGAAATGGGGCAAACTACATTAAGCAATTTTTGCACCAAAATTGATTTTATTTGATTTTATTTTTTCCTTGGTGTATTTTTTTTTCATTTAATTATTTTAAAGGCATCAGCAATGTTTGTGGCTTTAAAAAAATTAACGATTCAAAGAACTCGATCACCAATTTATCAACATCAACAAGAATCAATAACTATTGATAACACAAATGCGATCAATTAAATGTGCCTGCAAGGAAATAAAAAATGAATTAATAAAAGATTTAAAACAACAACAGCTCGATGACACCAATAATCTGCCAAAGAACCAATGAAGTAGCAACAGATACTGCCTTTGACGACTCAACAAAGAATGGATGAATGAGAGACCTGCGGAGCATGAGCCACAAACAAGATAACGAAAGGAGGGCCGATCTCAATTTTATTTTTAAATCTATGTTCTTCCGCAATATTTAAAAAAAAATGGTATATAAGAATACATAAAAAATTTGAAGAATGATTGAAAGTGATGCATTTTGAATTTTAAAATTTAGCTTTAAAAAATAAGCTAAATAAATAAGTGGTTAGCACTAAACACTTATTTATTTCTGCATTAAGTTAGCTGCGCTGTTGGTTGTATATTTAGAAATTATTGTTAAGGAGTTTCTGAAGAATAAATTAAGCCAAACTAACACAGCTCACAGTGAATATAGAAAAGCTGAAAAGCAAATTCTAAAAAAAGAAATTTATTTGTTCATAGAAATTAAAACTGATTTGCGAAGAAATCGACGAATTAAGACAACACAAATATAGAAAGAAATATGGAAGAAAAATTCTCAAATAATTATATTGTTTTTGAAATAAAAATTGTTTAAAAACTGAGTGGAAGAAACGCAATGAATAAAAATAATTTTTAAAGATGAAAAACTCCAATTCTTCGTCTTTCTTCAATAAAGAACAAATTTTTTGCTTTTCAATAGCGCTATGGACATTAAGAATGGATTTAGACAAATAATTCTGCAAATTCATACTTATTCTTTTCTTAGCGCATTTTCTCAAAATATTGCCTATTTGATGAAAATTTGGAGTTTATGAAGTCTAAAGTCTAGAATTTTTTTGTAGAATTCGCTTATAGGCTGATCAAAAATCCATCTAACATAGAGATTCATGAATGTGGTTAATGCTTGATTGGGTTAACTTCATCGATTTATTAGCAATATTACTATAAATTTCATATGACTTTAACCTTGATGCTTCACTTAGTTCCTGCTAATTCTTCTTGGAAACAGGCAATGAATCGATGCCTCTCGACCATTCGGCTACCCTATGCCGATTCGTTTGGATATGGTATACCATATAGAATTCTTTATAGTTCAATTATTCTCATTCTATCCAAGATGACTGGATAAACTGTAGAAATCTTAATTTTTAAAATTATTTCCATAAAAAATTCCCATAGTGGTGATGTATATAGTTGTAGGTGTGGCAACATTTTGCTTCTTTTACATATGAGTTTTAATGTTTCAGAATTAATCTTCAAGGAAAATTGTCTATTTTATAAAATTCCAGCTTTCGAAAGAATTGTCTATTTTATATAATTCCAGCTTTCGAAAGATTTAATTGTGGTAATATTTGCTGAGTGATTCATTATTGTTAATTTACCTACGAAATTTGAAAAATTATTGTAGAACAGTCTTAAATGGGATATTAATGATACCATTAAATTCAATTTTAAAACTAGGAAAATATATGAAATGCGTAAATGATGCAAACTACTCAGCTACCATTTTATTTTATTTTAATTTATGCAAATAAAAAAATTATTTTAATTTATGCAAATAAAAAAAAAAAAAAATGAAACTTAATAGCACCGATTTTATTGTCTCTAAAATGTTAAAGTGGTACTTTGCTAATGAAGTTGAAAAATTTTTCTTAATGTTTATGGAAATTTTTCAAGAAGAAATTGGACTGATTACAAATTATAAATCTTCATTAAAAGAAGTGGTTACAAAATAGAAAGGTGCAGAAACCACTTCTATGCAATAATTACAAGAAATGAATAAAACATAGGCACCAAAAGACCAAGACCACAAAATAAATGGTGAAAAAGTGTGGGGAAATTGTGAGAATTTGAGAAATTAATTTATTGTTCTATCCATTAGATGCCATTCATTTCCATAAATATTATGGATTTTTTCAAAAAATATTCGGAAGAAATTATAAAAACTGATTTTCAAATTTTTCAAAAATCGATTTCAAGCTGCTATATGACGTTGTTTGGTTCCAATTTTTTGAAATTGTGTTGGGAAAAAATTTATGAAAATCTGAGTTGTTTTTTCCTATTCGTATGAATAAAAAATTGATTCTGTTTGAGGAGATCAATTACGTTTTTTACGACGGACTATTCATTTCGATTCCAATTATTAGAAGATAAACTGAATGTGGCTATCGTATAATTTCGATGCACTGAATCTTTCTGGCTAGCTTAATTCCTGATGCTACTGCACTGAAAGAATTTTTCTTGACTGTTCGCCTTCAGACGGGATTCAAATATAGCAATTCATATATATGTCCGCCCCATAATATTTTATATCTATTATCACTTCACGTTTGAATTTAGATTTTAAATTTTGCATGACTTTCACTTCTGAAGTGCTATGCAAAGCCAGTGTTCTATACATTGAAATGTATAGGTCAGTCCTCTTATCCTCCTTTTAAAAGAGCATAAAGGAAATGAAATGGAGGAAAGAAGTGTTTTCATCTGGATCTACGAGGATTAATGCAGAAGAAAGAATTTCAAAATGATATCTCTGGCGGATTGCAGCAAAAGATTATAAAAAAGCATTTTTTTTTCAAAGAATTTTACTCATTACTCGTTAAACTCGCTCCGCTGACGCATTGGTCAAATGTGTCAGGGAGTCCCATGGCGATAGAAATACATTTGATCGCCAATATCATCCGGATTTTTAGACAGGGTTACTTCTGCTGGGAATAAAACAGTATCGGCATTCCGAATTGAGCAACAGCCTATTAAGCCATCCTTCTATAAAGAAGCATTAAAGCATTAAAAGTATTTAAAACAGATTTTAGGCAGAATTTTTTAAAAAAAAAATGTTAAGGGAATGTAAAAAAATTCAACAGGAATTTTTTTTACAAGGCAGGGAACCTTATTTAATGGAGGAAGAATTTTAGCAAATTTTGACCAATCTTAGAGGGAATGGATGGGCATGCAGACTAATACACACCATGAAGCAAAAAGCCCATCCGTCAATTGACCAATAACCCTATCCACACAAACTCATCCATCTGCCCAAAAGTCCACACTTTCTTATCTACTTACCGCACATCAACATGCACCCCCCAAATCATCAACCCATCCACCCATTAGGATGCATTTATCATAATCACGACGCATCAAGAGATATAATCAAACACTTCTTCAATATATATATATATATATATATATATATATAAATTCCTTTTCTCCAATATAACCTTTCTTCACACCCACGTGCACCCAGTGCATATTTAACACGCAGTTCAACACTCAAATTCACAACATCCACTCTCTATCCTCCAACATACAGGCACATTCACCACCATACTCACACTACGGCCAATAAACCTGTAACTCGCTCAACAAACATTCATTCATAACACATATTCCCAACAGACATACAGGCACGCTTCCAAAACATATGCGAACTCCAGGCAAACTTAATCCATCTACGCATACTCTATCGAACACACATATTCTCCCAAAATACACATGTTCTTCCAGGACGATCACAACACATACACGTCCAACGAATCCAACTTCCAGTGGATGTACTTCCCCAATAGGCACACATTCTTCTCAACCTAAATGGGTACTTCCCAGCTCCAACACTATTCTGCAAATCGAAAAAGCCATATTCTCGCAATTCAACCTATAAATATAAATCTATAACACCGCATACTCATTTGCCTAACCTACATAAATTTTTGACACCATCTCTCAAATATTCATCATCATAAATGCATCATAAATATTCAATTAATTGACGCATGCACTAACGCCTATATTCCCGTTCCATCCAGCTCGCGTTAATCCACTGGTTCATATGGGATGCACAATGCCAATGGCCCTCATGATGAATACAACTAAATTATTTGTTTAAATTTTGAACGAATTATCAACAGTTTCCTTTTTTCCTTTCACTTCACAGTTATTCCACAATGATAAGTTCGGGCAATAAATTGTTTCGATAAATGCAGTGATATATCATAATATAATTCAAGGACTTATGGATAAGATGATCCGAATTTGGATCAAAATATTGTCACAACTTGAACTCTGCAATCATTCCCCGACCAGTATTTTTAGATGAGATTATTTATACAAAATTTATGTACGAATTGTATTTGTATAACTGCCTATTTAGAATAATTTTACTTAAAACAAATGCAAATAGGATCGCCCCAAGCTGAATCGGCTGAATTGCAAAGGATATTCGAAGGCAACGGTAAAACTTTTTGAGCCCTAATTTATGAGTAATATTGCCATTTATCGCCTTATATGAAGTTATCTATGTGGCACCATCCTATTCCTTGATTGACAAGTTGCCCTTTGTAACGCTTCCTCTTCGACCCAATCAAGCACAGCATTTTTGCTAAAAGCTGACACAGATCAGGTTTCAGATTTAAATTATATGGATTCGCAGATTCAGTTGCGAGGCCTATTGTGTCGACTCCCGTCGTATCCAATCATTTTACCAATGCCCTTTGAACGCCTTACCTGAAATCTTAATTCTTGCATATTTTGCGGAAATATCTATCTACCCAGACCCTCCAAAAATTCTTCTATTTCGATATGGCCTTTCGGTATGGCGTCATTTTATTTCTCTGCTGCTTCAATTTACAGTGGCAGTCGGTGTTGTGTGCAAAAGATAGAGCTACAGTGGCCAAAATTAAGGAGGTTAGCAGAAATTCGAGAGAGTTGAGAATTATGGGAATTTGGAAGGTAGAAAGCTAGTCACCAGGGTTCGAAAAGTTGCCAAAGAGATACAAGGATTTTGAGGAAATAACAAGAAATATATAATTCTGATCTTTCTTAAGAAAAGAATTTTTCTAGTAGTACTTTTTACTAGTACTAGCATATCGTATGGTCAATTATACATTTAGGACACTTCGATACCCCAGGGAGCAGTTAGCAATTTGAATATCATTTCGACTTCTCATCACTGAGTAATGCAGCAGCTCGAATTTATTTCGGTCAAGAGGAGTGTTCAAATCTCTCCATGGTGAATGCATCATTAACTCAGATATCCAGTTAATTCAATGAAATGTTCAGACGATTTTTCAAAAATATATATATGTTGCCATTCATTTCAATCCAAGTTTCGCGGATTCCGAATTCCTATTTCTGATCTGCAAATGCACAAAGTTTTCATGCATTCACTCTAGCCGATAAAATTAATCATATTAAACGATTTACCTTCGATTTGAATTGGGTCTCACCATAATAAGTCGTGCATTTCGTTACCACACGAATCTACCTGCGCGTTTTATCACTGAAAATTTTTCAAAAAACTGCAACTGCAACTGTCTTCATTCGATTTAAATCTCGCCGTACATTTGCTTGAAAGTTATCTTTCCAATATTAATTTTTATTTTCTTCAAAAGATTAAGTACAAAAATCAATTTGTAATAAACTTTTTGCCGATGCAAAGTACTATGAATAGGAAAAAATTTTCAAAATATTTCAATGTCAATGATTCAAAAGCTCTCATTTATTTAAAAATGTTTTTGGAGCGGACCGGTTTATTTCGTAATTTCGTAATTCTGAAATTCCAACTTTTCTACTATCATAAGATTTGTTAAGATTGACAGGTAGATGGGTCGCTGTTTCATTACTTCGCATTTGTTTCGCGCTTTAATCTTCTCGAAATTTGAATGGTTCTATAATATTTTCAATATTTTAGAATACTTTAGGAAAAGCGAAAACTAATAATAGATGATTTTTATAGAATTAATTAGGTTTTTTTGATTAGTCTATCATTTTTATAATAATAAATTTGTTTAAAAAAAGAAATGTATTCTTAAAATTGCCGAAACATCGATTGAATTTCGATTGATAGGTTTATCGCTGATTTGACAATTTTCAGCTCTGTAATGTGATATGGCTTAAAACTGGCTCCTTTCACAATAATAATAAGTATTGCACAATGATAATAAGTAGTACTGTTTAGTAATCAAGAATTTCTCTTCAGCCAAATTTCTTTTTTCTATTGTTATTCCCTCGATTTTTCACATTATTAGATTAAATTGATAAAAAGATAGAAATTTAATTATACTTCGCGAATTCTTTGCTTTAATGTTTTAAAATATATTAGATAATGCAATAAACTGATAATAAAGGCGAGTAGTTGTTACATGATTATCATAATGAGCTTTCTGGTGCGATTCCTGCAGCTAAACTTGTCATTAAAAAGCCCAGTTTTAGAGATCCATGTGTCGAGTGGCTCCTTAGAATTGTTCCATCCCACAAATATTTTTCTTGTTTAAACGAAATTTATTTTTGTTCATCCTCTTCATCAAGTGAATTTAATAAATAGTATAGCCACTCAATTTCAAAGCCAATTATATTAGCTCATCGTTGAGTAAAATACCTAATTTATTATTTTAATTATATAGCCAATTACTGATTTCCATTCATCTTATCGTTTTTATTTTTCTTCTTCTGGCAGCACTCAGCATTCCGTTTGGTTGCTGTATTGGTTATTTAGATGAGATCTTTTCGCTAGAGAATCCTTGTGAATAGAAGATACACATATACACATACACATTTGTGAATGCTTTAAGCATCAGCCGGATTTTAATGACAGGTTTACTCTTATCAACGGATGGGAACTTATAACTGACCTCAGTCAAAGTCGAACTTCTCGGACAACCCAATCTTCATTTTTTTATTCATTATCGTTAACGCAATGACAATTCTAAATGATAAATGTAGAAAGTATTTTGTTAATAAATATCTTTTCTGAAAAAGAATCCATCAATAACATAATTTTATTTAATTTAATTTTATTTTGTTAATATCAAAATTATTTATTGTTGTTTTTATAGGCGATGCGAACATGTAATTATTATATATTGAGGTTTATATCGCTAACGATTCTTGGAATTGTTATAAATGATTGTTTGATTAGTGCTTCTTTGAATAATAGAAATGACAATAAAGATACTAATGAGCTGACGACTACTCAATGGGCGGACAAGATTGGTATAAAAGCCAAGCAAGCTGTGAAAAAAATTGGAGCCGTTATGAAAGCTGAAGATTCAATTTTAGAATGTAAGGGAACAAAGTAAGAATTTATTCGACTGAAATATTCCAGCTGAAAACGTATTTGAAAGTAAGAACTTAAATAAATAAATTGTTAGTCGAACTTGATTCTTTGTATATTTTAAGCCTATTTTAAATAGATTTTCAATAATTTCTGTTAAATAACATTGATTAATTAAAGAAACCATTAGTTCCCGTTACTTGACGTTATGTTTTGTCATCAGAGGTGATGCACTGAGGATCCACTCGGATTTCTGTCGCGCAGGGATTTTCTGGCGGAATGATGGCATCTTAGCAATATTGAAATTGGCAAACCAGGAACATCATGCGCTGTTAAGAGTAAAATAAGAGTTAAAAAAGTACCTAGGTGATGAATGAAGAGAAATTCTTCCTACTTTCTTTAATTCACTGAAGTTTGCACAAATAAAAATTTAAAAAATAAAATTTAAAAAAATAAAGAATCGGAATCCTCAAATCTGTTATTATTAAAAAATAGACAAGATGGGAACGCAAGTTTAGTTTCTCTTGCCATGGGATTTCTATACAAAATAGGTTAACGAGAAATACTGAGCGCTAACTATTTTCCTTAGTTTTTAGCACTTATAATGATTTTTTTGTTCATTGTGGGAAACAAAGAGGTTTTTATTCTTTTTTTTCGTTTAGTAAAAATTGGATTATACTTATCTGCAATAAAATAAAATTATAAAGCTTAATTATTTTTGAAGTTTTGACACCACTGTAGGCAAATTTTTACTTTTCATCATACTGAGATATTTATTATTACTTTTCTTTATCCTTCTTTTAAAAACCTTCTTCTAAAGCCATTTTTGATTTGGTTAAATCTAATGATCACTTGCTGTCCCAGCACCAGCCTGATGGCAACTTTATTCATGGCAGTCGAAATTATGATTTGCCCATAGTCAAAGCAGCCCACTACCCGACAGTCACCTCGATAACATATTCAAAGAACTTTATAGATGCCCAACGAATAATATCTTCATATTTTATCGATGTTGTGAAGAATCTGCTGGGGAATGTTGCTTTCATATTCGATACTGGTTGACGTAAGTTTTATCATCGTATTTTCATTAACTAGTTTTTATTTGCTTATCGTTGCCTCCCGTTTTAAAGATCGATTTGTTCCTGAATAATTCAATTATTATGAAATGAGAAAATATTATTGTCGTTATTGTCGTTTAACAATAAATTATAAAAGTTCTAAAAAGCTTATTCGCCGAATTTTGCATTATTTTTACGGCTATTTTTTCTTTTCTTATTTTATGCTATAGTTCTTTAAAGCCATTTTTTTCATCTTCGTTTGTGCGAAGAATGGAAATATTTTCAAGAAATGGGAAAAAAAAATTTCAAATTATTCTATGTTTGATTTTATGAAAATTTCTATTTGGAAAATTCATATAAAATTTTTTGAGCCATTAAAAAATAAAAAATAAAGTGGAATAAAATTAAATAAAGAATTAAAATAAGAATAAAATCTATGAAAATTAGACGGAACGGAAGAAAATAAATTTTCTTAAAACTCTCCTGAAATTTCGAAAAATTTCTTTTTAAAGTTACAAAATGCATTTAAAGTAAATTTTTGTTTCAGAATTGTATTAGTGTTAATTCTGTTGAAAATATTATGGATGGTCGCGATTTGGTGCATTAAATATTTTTGTAACTTCTAAATTTCATCCACTTATTTTATTTTTACAACATATTAAGAACATTTATTTGTAAATATTTAGGATTTTTTCCACCCAGTATTACTCGTTTTATTTTATATTTTTTTCAAATTTGTGAAAAAAAAAATTCGGCTTGCTTGCGGCCTATGTGTGTTTTTCTCGCCAGGTAATTTGTAATCGCATCAACATTGAGCTACGATAATCTAACCAGAAATGTGGTAACCACTTATATATTTGTTAAAGCATATTCTCTTCAAAGGATGTTTTTTTGTAATAGTATGATATATATTTATCCCATTATCACTGATCCCTCATTTATCATGTACCACTGTAATTCTGAGTCAACAAAAAGAGTCGCTTTTTCGCTTTTCTGACTCAATTTTCATTTTGTTGTTCTAATTGTTTATGTTAATTTCGGGGAAACATAAAACAATAAAATTCATTTAAAAAGTTTATTTTAAAAAATTCAAACGTCTTAATCAAATAAATGATAATTAACGCAATGTAAGGGTTTTATATTTGATGGTATTTTTAAAAAAATTTTCAAAAAAATCTAAATTTATAATACTTTATAAATCTTAAATTTTGCTAATTATTTTCTTTTGATTATTGAAAAATTATTTGTTTTGGTTTTTTCTTTTATTAAACGTAAAGTTAAATTTTTTTCAATAAATAAATCATTTCTTTCATATTTTTTTCATTATATTTTAATCTTAATTTATATGTGCTAATATTCATTTATTTCTTTCGAGAAATAATTTTCATCTGATTTTTCTTCAATAATAATGAATTAATTAAAAGTTTTGCTAAAATAAAAAAAAAAGTTTAAAATTATATCACAATAAATTTAAAAAAATTGAAGTACGCCATTATTTAATTTTTCTTATTTTAGAATCATTTTTTTTTAAGAGTCCTCACCATTGCTGGTCGAACTCGTTCCGTTGGCTTATCGCATTGGATAAATATGCCAGAGAGTCCCTTCGCAATAGAAGTGCAGGTGAATCACCGGGATTTTTGGACAAGTTTGCTCCTGCGGGGAATCGAACCTCAGCATTGGCGTTTCGAATTTAGCCTACTGAGCCATCCTATCCCCATTTTATAGTCATTAATCTGATTTGATTTGATCTGTGAATAATGCAGTGCGAATACCGGATTTGTTCCAGAAACCGTCAACAATTTAATCATGAAAAATTTATTGTTTTGGATTTTTCTCAAACGCAATCGGCGAAATGCGCTAAATTTACTTCTTATGCGAATTAATTAATTAGGCTGCAAAAAATTACGTAAAATTACCATCACAAAGGACAAAACAGAATTTAAACAAAATTTTCACTAATATCAAATTTCATTATATGGTGAATGCATGCAGTATAGATATCGACTGGACTACATAATGTTTCGATAGATTTTAAAAGTGTCGATTTATAAGAATCAGAAACTGATTTCTGATTATTAAATGTTGAACAGAGTCGTTGACACTGCACCAGTTTGGAACCATCAACTTGTGAACGATCCAAGATATGTACTATTGCTGTAAGCACACCCTGAATTAAGATTAAAATATGTTCTTAAGATGTGTGGATTTCCTTTAAAGTGGAAATGAAGATTGAGATATAATAATATTCCTTGTGAATTGCTTTACAATTTGTGGTTTGAAAATGTTGAAGAAATGAATTTCTAAAAATGAATTTTTGATGCTAAAAAAAAACCACTTGAACCAAATAAAATAATTGCAATTAATTGAATGATTATTTAGAATGGTTGAGTTGTTGATAGTTGATTATTTGCTTGAAAATATTCGCCTGTTTCAAATAATTCCAGTATTCTTCCAATTTCCCTTCGTTTTCTTCATCTTTTTCTCGTATTTCTTTTTTTGACGGAGTACACATCTTTGAAATTAAATTTTATTTTTTTTCTCTAGGAATCATTTCTTTAAATTTTTTCAAAATTTTTTTAAATTTTGTATGCAAAAATTTATTTAGTTTCAATCCATTTATGTGATAAGTGGTCTACTCTCTCTATTTTTAGTAAAGCTACCTCCGCTGGTTGTTAGTACGATTAGGAACTTTTGCCAATTAATTGTGATTTTGCGATAGAAGTGCGCCATTTTGGTTCACCAATGCCACCTACATTTTTAATGTGAGATTTATTTTTATCCACAGAGTCTAAATCTGAACAACTATACATTAGGTTCATTTGCTTGAGAAAATAAACTGCCTTGAAAATTAGGTTTTGAGACTGTTTTGAGGTACTACACTCTTGTGATCCTTCCTGACGAATATAATGCTGTATTTCACTGCTTTTTGCTTCAATCGCTTCACATAAATTACAGAATCGGCTATAAACAATTTAGAAGGAAGAGATTATCAAAAAATTATTGTATTTAAAGAATTTATTAAAAAATAAAATTAAGTGCATTCGAAAAAGCATAAATATTCCATGTTTTGAAGTAAATATATTGAAACTTGCCAGGTTTTTTTATCCTTTAGCATTATTCGTAATTTTTCATTGCTACTTTGTGGACACCAGTTCGTTTGAGTTATATTCGTACATATATTCGAGATACTATTCGAATTAGTAGGTTGACAAGGAATATTTGTTCCCAGTTGCAAAAATGCTTCAATGTGAGGGTTTGACAGAGGCTTCACCATTCGGAAACTCAAGTTTACACGATAACATCTATAAAATTATTGGGCTAAATTAGAATCATTGAATCATTTCACAAAGCAAACCAGTGCAGTTTATGCTCATGCTTATCGTACGATAGACACAAGCTCTGATAATACGAATTCCTGCTTATCATGGGAGAGACAAATTTAGATAAGCTTTGGACAAACTCTAGTTTCCTGCCTATTATCTTTTCAAAAAATTAACTAATATAAGGAAACTAGGAAATATAAGGAAACTTTTTCTATTCATATTAAAAGTTCTCTATTTTGCGCAGGCACTTTGAAGTTTGTTTACCCCGGAAACGAGATCGTTCTTGTTTCACCATTTTGTGTGGTTATCGTTAAAGTATCACCGAAATCGCCTGATGAGATTAAATGCATATCAAAGCGTATCGAATCTTTGTCGACAATATCAGTTCGAACTTCAATAAAAAATTATTTAGAAAAGAAAGTAAGAGTAATACTTAAATTCCATTATATCTACCAAGTATGAATTCTAAATTTAAATTTAAAACTTAAATTTCAAATTTTAATCTTCTTCATTCCATCATTATGGTCGATATTTATTTTTTTACATATTACATATTTTCAGAATTATCAATGAATTCAACTTGAGCTAGCAAAGTAAAATCAGTGTTCACAAAAAAGTGACCGATTTAAGAATTCTCCTAAAATTCTCCATGAAATTCACAAAACTAACCAGACGGACAAGAGCGAGTTAAGTTTTCCCGAATAACTATATGGACATTCTTGCAAGAAACAATGAGAATAATAGCAAAAAAAATAATAGTTGTTTTCGACATTTAGTTGAAAATATGTTAAGCAGGAAGCTGGTGATATTTATGATATGAATTGGAGGATGGCTGATTTAATCGGCCGACTTGACCCACATTTACTTTGTACAATACGATAATAGGCATTCGATAAATGGTTAATATCCACTTGAAAATTTCTAGACATTTCATGCAAAAATTCGATTATTACGAAGTTGAATGGCAGGAAATTCCATATACAATTTATTCTATATTTTCCGGTAACCACAAGAGTGGGAAATTATCCTTAAGCAGATTCATATCTTTTATATCGCTTATCTTTTTGCAAGAATTTTTCAATATTCCAATAAAACATTCTTCTTTTAACAACTGAATTCAAGTGAATTATTCAACTCAATTGGAGAGGATTGTTTATAGAAGAGTCTAAACAGAAATAAACCTTTTATTAACATCCGTAACCTATCTGCACCTAAGCTTTATGCTTCCAATTAAGTTTCCAGCCAAAGAATCTTTAGCCAATAGAAAATAACTTGGGTTTTTGGAAACAATGATGTAAATAACTTGTAGAAAAGTAAAAAGTTAAACGAAACTTTATTAATTTTTTATCAAATTTCAAAATTTCAAAAAAATAAATATATTGAAACCTATAAAAGTTTAAATTTAAACGAATCCTGAAAAAAAGGAATATGAATTCTAAGACTTGTGCATTTATAAACCAAAAACAAATGAAAATATGCACCGAACCAATTTTTCTGTAAAATTAAGTAACTATTCATTAGATATGTAGACATGAGGACATATTAATAAAGCACTGAAAAGATAATTTTTTTCCACTTCTACTTCCTACTTAAAAATTACAAAAAGATTCGGTGTGAAATTCAATGGTGAAATGGAAAATAGAGAGAATAATAATCATAAAGAATTATAATCATAATAGAACAAAAATTCAAGTCGATTCATCATAGTCTAATCCAGTATATTCACATATATCATCAAATGATGCAGTAATAACATCGTCACTAGAGAGAATTCTAATTGTAACTTCCCCACGATGTTTATCCTTTGCTTCCATCACTGCTAAACTGCCACGCCATATTCCATTTATAACCAAAACTTTTGCTCCTAAGACTTTTGGAACGATAGTTTCGAGCCAATCTTGCTTCAAATCTAAAAATTTTGAACAAAAAATCTCAATAAAAATAATTAATCTGAAGTAATGAGGTATTTATCAACATTTTCATCATCTTTGAGTTAAATATACCAACCATAATGCACACGTCCTGAAAAATCTTCGACTGTGCAATATTTAGAATCAGGAACATCTATAACTTTAACTTTTTCGGTGAACAAAGAACCATTCTGAAACAAAAATACACTTAAAAATCCAGTCTGTAATTTTCTATTAGCGTAAATTTAGTTTCAGTAGCAAAGTAAGCATATTATAGTACCTTATATCGTTTAGAAATACATCGCACTCTTAGACCTGTTTGAACCCATATCCGATTATTTGATTGGGTCAGGTTATCCCTTGATGAACTGCAATCCCCAGATTTCGGCAACTCCTTCTTTGAACATTTATAGATAGACGAATTTTGATTCATGTAATCTTTTTTCTTGACAAGCTGAATTTTTTGTCCGGTCTTCTCCATTATTTTTCCTTCAGGATGACCTACAAAATAAATTTTGCCGAAAATAACAAATCCTGTTTAGAAAAATAAATAGGTAAAAATTTTAAAAAATAAAAAAAGACCTGAACAAAAGAAGAATATCATCCAAATCTCTTCTTTTTTAAACTTTTAAAAAATAAAAATAAAATTTGGAATAAAAAACTTTTAAAAAACCTAAAATGATTAAAAAATAAAAAAATTTAAAATTTTCTGAAACTTCAAAATTTAATAAAAAAAAAATAAGGATATAATAAAATTGGCCACAAAACAGTGGAATAAACAATGCATCTATATGAATAATATTATTTACAATTATAATGTATTATAATGTATTTACAGTTTCGCTCGTATTCTCTAACACTTATTAATTCCAAGGCATATTGGTTTACACGAACATTATTCCCACTAAGAGCAAGTTGGACAATAACGCTTCCATTATCTTCATCAAAACCTTCAATCCTGCCATATGAATCACTGCAAAAAAATTTAAATATGAGTGAAAAATAGCAACAAAATAGTGGGTAACTTTCTTATCTATTAAAAAGGTGATTTTCTATTTTCTCGAACAAAATTGCTTATTTGATATTATAATGAATAGGATTTATGAAAATTGGAAATAAGTAAGAAAACTGCAAAACATATTTCATATTTCAGAATCGGAGTATGGTAAAATATTTCTACAGTCAATGGTTCTAAAAATGAATTTTGATGAAAGAAATACAAAGCTCCTAACAAATTTAAATTTAAATAAATGAAATAAGTCTGATACCGATATATTCCATTAATAACCTTGACATACGAATATTTTTTGAGCACCTGGAAATCCTTTTCACCGTTCTTGACTTTACTATTAGGTTTCTTTATAGAAATATCAGCTCCAAGTCCAAGACCTTTAGGTCTTTTAGTAGGAATTTTTAAGGGAACCACTCTGGAAAAAGTATATCAATATATCAAAAAGTATATCAAAACTATTTAGAAACCATGTAGAACTATTTTTGTTTATCAAAGTTATCTATAGCAGTCTTAAAAATTTAAATTCTAAAAAATGATATATAATTTCATCTACTTGGTAAAAAATAAATGAACGAAAATAACGTTTAATTCGAAAAATATGTTTATAATATAATACAAAATACTTTTTATTGCTGAGACCGATTCCCTCACCGTCCTTCCAACCACAACCTCTCAAAACAGCAAGACCAAAACTTTCAACGGGAATTAAATTATAATCAGCATCTTCGGGAAAAGAATTATTTAGCAAGCTATCTCCAGCTGTACTTGAATTTTCAGCCTTAAATAGAAAATTGCTTTTTTTTATCTCGATTTATTATAGATACATTGCAATAGCGAAGTAATTTAAACTAAAAAAAATACAATAAAATTAAAAAATACCTTTTTTGACAAATTTGGAAAAAGCGACTGAAATTTTGCGTCATCTTCTGAATTCAACTCGCTTTGTTCCTTTAATTTCAAAATTTTTTCCACTCTCCAATCTTTTCTTGTTACCATCGGTATTATGAGCAAACTGTTTTCCGATTTTTCACTAAATTCAAAGAATTAAAAATATTGAAAAACTCATAATAAATATTAATATTATATAATCGTAATATTATAAAACTGAATTTTTAGATTCTTTCAAAAAATTCATCTATTAAAAAGAGTCAAAATTAAACATAATTAAATAATATATTCCAACTGTATTCTCACATTCTAAATAATGATTCAAATAAAAAATTGGATACTTAATATCGAATGAAATTCAAAATTTAGCAAAATGAAGAAAAAAAGAAAAAAAGTGGCAAAAAAATAAAAATTCACCAGTGAAAAAATACTGAATAAAACTTTAATATAACTGTAAAATTTAGAAGAAAATATGATGAATTAAGGAAATATAAGAATTTAAAGGAGAAATATGTCAAATAACTTAAAAGTAAAAAAAACTTACTTAGCAAATAATGTATTGTCGACAAAACTTAATTTTTGTTTTTTATTTAATTGTTCGTGCAATATTTCATCACCATCACCATCTTCAGCGTTACCTTTCAATAAGTTTATAGATTTATTAAAAGATTCAATTTTTCTTTTCACACCAAAAGAAACCTTCTGACCACTGGTCGAAGAACGCAATTCACAAATATTTTCCATCATTGAAAAACCTCAGAAAACAATAAAATTCAGTAAAATTATATTGGCACTTTCTGCTTTCCGACAATCTGAAAAATTATAACATCATAAATTATCAATGTCTGCATAATTTCTAATCGGAATCCAGTGGGGAAAAAATGGAAAGCAGAAAGTGCTAAAGAAACGGCATGGTGAATAAAGAAAATAAAGAACGAATTTCGGATAAGTGATAAGCTAAATTTCAAGAGAAGAATCGATATAGATGGGCGCATATGAAAGATGAGAGAACGAGTAAAATGGCTTAATTTTTCTCGTTTTCCATTAGTCACCAATTTTGGCTTGGCTCCTCCGCTGATTACTGAGATAGAGCCCTTATCAGAAAATCACTTGGGGGTATAAGTGCAGCGCCACTCAGATTTATATTTTTTGTAGAGATTTACTTATTAAAGGGATGGAAAAGAGTGGGACGTATACGACATTAAGCGACTTTAAACTGTCCAACTACTTTCATTTCTTTATTTTTAATCAAATTTAAAAAACAATTTTTAAAAATAATACATTACATAAACTTAGAAATTACTGAAAACAATGAAGCGATTAATTAATTAAACTGCGAAGACCCAATATTGCTGCCTAATATTACTGAACCACAGTATTGCGTAAGATACGAACCAATTAATTTCTTTTAGAAATTCTTTAGCCTACGACGCACTCAACCTAACCACACTTGATAGATGTTTCATGAGACTGCCAAAGGGATTCATGATCAAGAGAAACCAATTTAACGGAGAGACCTTGACGAATCGCAACTGCAAAATAGTGCATTGCGACAAATACGTCCGTCAAATAGTACTGGATATTAGGTCAATAATTCAGGGTGCTCTTGATTTTCTTATATTGGTTCATTGATTAGATAGGTGAAAATAAGTTCATTTCCTGAGATTGGATCGGCATTTCTCCCTTGCTTGGTACCACTAAGTGTATTCTTCTAGGTTTTCATTTTGAAATTATTCTCTGGCAGTGGCGATTCCATCCTAATTGTAAGAGGAACCAGATAAAGTAATTTGTCTGTGGCGTGCCATAATAAATTTGAACTCGCTTAAGATGCTTACATAATTAGCTTATTAATTTCGTGCAATAATTTCTTTTCTTTTCAGTCTGGAACACTCGTCGTTTCCAAACTTTTATTTTGTTTCTTCAATCGTCGTCGCAAAATAAGGTTGGATTTATCTCAGAGTTTTATGTTTGTATTATCTTGAAAGCTTTTTTTATTCTTTTATTCTGTTAAATATGGGAGAGGGAGAGTGAGCTCATGGCGAAGTATTGCGTTTCTTATATGCTCATTCATATATAATGTACTGACTTCTGCCTCCCAAGGCCTGTCATATGAAGCGGTGCGGCAGAGGACTCTTCCTCTCCTGTTCCCAAGTGACCATGCGGCGAAGTTATCTCATCATAGTAACAGCTGGTGACGTTAACCGAAAACGTTGAATGCTGTAGAAATAAAGTAATGTTTTTTTTTGAAAGCCTTTTGCCACGTTCCGTTGAACTGAAAGGTTCCACGATTTCAAATTTTCGTGACGGGAAAGAACTCAAAGTTTTTTTATCGTCCATCTGAAGGTTTATTTGGAATTGCAATTATGCAGAACTTTGAAGTGGCAATGCCACCAAATAGGCTGCGGCGGGTGGGGGGGGGAGAATGTAGTACCATGCCCTGTTATTTTTAAATACTCTATGATGAATTTGGCTGAATCGCTGCCTTGAATTCATTGGGTTGCTAAAATTCTCTTTCATTTCTGCAAGAGGCGCTCATTTAGAAAATTGAATTTTTTGTTCGTATTCTAGTATTGCTTTGCCCCTTCATTGAGTAAACTACAGTAAATTTCTATATTCCATCTTTATTGTTAATGAATGTCGTTATTTTTCCTGATTTATTTTCATTTTTTCATTTTTGAGTTCCAGTTAATTTATTAAATTTTTCTTTTCCTATCCATAGTTTAAGAATTAATTCTTCTTCTAATATCTCTCACCATTACTGGTTAGGCTGGCTCCAACGGCTACAAGGGAGCGCCGATGCTGAGGCTCGATTCCTCGCAGGAGTAAACCTGTACAAAAAGCCGGCTGATGCTGACGGCTCACCTGTTTCTATCGCCAAGACTTCCTGGCTTATTGTCCAATGCGACAAGCCAATGAAGCGAGCCTAACCAGTAATAGTGAGGACTCTTTAAAAAAAAACGGCTACAAGGGTAAGACGCTTCCAAGCGGCGCGGTCTAATGCCATTGTCGACAGCAATAGAAGCCATTCTTTTTTCTACTGTCTAAATTGCTGGTCCACGTATACGTTCAAAATCTTTTCTGAAGTTACCAGTCCAGGTCTTGATTGGTCCAGCTCGCTTTTGATACCACCTATAACATAATGGTTTAGCAAATAACGAAATATGCGTCAACTCCTGTGGTGGACAACGGAGAACGTGCCCTAACCAGCGAAGGCGACGCTCTGTGATAACATTATTAATGCAAGTGGTATTTGAACGAAGATAGATGCGATCATGTGATATTTTATCTGCTCGACAACCAGTAAAATGTACCTTAAACAAGAGTAGTCAAAGACAGATAGCTTCTTTAATATTATCATGGGCCGTATCACGCAGCCACATAGCAAGATCGAACGAATTGCGGCTTTGTAGATGAGGTGTTTCGTTCTTATGGTGATTTCACGACGGCTCCATAAAGATTTTAAGAAAAATGCATTTCTGTTTGTTGTGGTCTGGGTTATAATATTGCCTTTTGCCTGACCATTTGGTATTAGAGTGAACCCAAGGTATTTAAAATCGGACACTTCCTCAGCAATGAATTTATATGAAAATGAGGCATTTTATCTGCTTCTTGCACATAAGACGAAGAGGCTTTCGTTTGAGTTACTTTGAGTTCGATTCTTGCTGCAGTTTCTGACACGTTATTTAGTATAACATTAGTGTTTCGTTATAACTATCAGCAAAAAAGACTACATCATCAGCGTATTCAAGATCTGTGATACGATGCTCTAGATTAATTTGGACACCTCTTGAATGCCGACAAGTTGTGTCCATTATCCAGTCTATCGCATAGTTGAATATTGTGGCGGGAAGGACGCAACCCTGACGGACGAGACCTGTTCTTATTTCGATGAAATCTGTCAGCTCCCCATATACATATATACAGACCTGCGCCGACGTGCGCTCATAAAATGCCTTTATGAGTCGAATCATCTTCTCTTGAACACCGTCTCGTTCCATCATCGTCCTAAGCGCCGCTCTATCAATGGAATCAATGAAAAGGCATCAAAGTCGGTGAAACACGTGATAATGGGTTGCAAATCTGAAGTGATGTTCCAACACCTTAATTTGAATATCTGACACGCACAACCAGCTTGAATCCAGCTTGATTAGAGGGCATCCTGCTGTTTTGTACTGCCATAAGTTTTTGAGTAAAAGGGAAATTTTCAGCTAAGTAGTCTTTTTTGCTGATAGTTATAACGAAACACTAATGTTATACTAAATAACGTGTCAGAAACTGCAGCAAGAATCGGACTCAAAGTAACTCAAACGAGCTAAGCCAGTTTGTGAAGAAGGCAGAATAGTTTCCTATTGTCTAATCGAGCAGCCTTCTCCATCTTCAAAGCCATGTCGCTCCAATAGTGATTTCTGTCACGCCTCGGAGACATTCCTTTAGTTTGGATCAGTAAAATCATTGATATTTGTATTATAGAGGTGCTTCAATAATTCTGTTTGAAATGCGCCCACTGTCCCCGAATTTTTTAGTTTGGGATAGTTAAAGGATCTTGGGGGATGTTTTTTTTCAGTTTTATGTGGACCTTGGTTCGGGCCATAGTCAGATCTTTGAAAATTGCACGTTTCAGCTCAACGATTATATAGTACGGAACTCTTCCAATGGCGGCTGAATAATTTGCAATCAGTCTGGTTGAAATTGGTTAGATGTTTTTTTTGATGACGAAAGCAATTATTAACAAAAAGTTCATGCTCTTTGGCATAACGAAGAAAATGTTCCCCATTGGCGCACCAATCTCCAATGCCATGTTTGCCGATTGTTGAGGTCATCGCACTGGCATTATGACTTACGCAAGCATTCCATTCTCCTCCAATTATGATCATGTCATGTTTCGGTAGAGCTTTGTTGCAGTTGAAGTTTTACATGACGGTCATCTGCTGGCGAAGTTGAAGCGGAGGCACTGATGGCCGAGATATTGCAGAACTTACCCTTAAAATAGGCATAAACCATTCGGTCGCTAACCGATTTCCACTCAATCAAAGCGGACCCTCAGAAGCGGATACGACATTCACTACGCCATTTCGCCCCTAGTTATTCGAAGCACCATAGTGATATAGCCAGTACTTCTGTTCCGAATCAGGATTAGTGATTACCCGTGACTCGAAGTGAGGAAGACGGACCTCTGATAAACAGGCGATATTCACACGATATTTAGAAAGGATGTGAGCAGTATTCGGTTGACTTGCAATGTCCATAAGCGTTCTAATATTCCATGCTGATACGGCTAACATCTCGTCGCGTATACAGAGAGCCGTTCCCCTTGATAGATTTCGAACAATAATCCTGGCTTGCCAGCATATTTTATTAACCTTTAGATCGTTTTAGCCCTGGATTGTATGCTTATCGCATGTACCACCAGACTGGGAATGCGGAAGGCGCGAACACTTTATCAAGAATATCTGACCCTTTCACCATAGAATCATTTGGGGGACAGAGTTACTGGTGGGTGCCCAGCAACAATCCGAGTTTTTGACTGGACAAGTTACAAGTTTACTCCTGTCATAGGCAACTATTTTATAATATATAATATATATAATATATATTTATATAATATATTTAATATATTATATATATTTATCTAAAAACATATATAATATATACATATTTTATTTTACATTCTTTATTTTTTAAATTTAGAAATAAAAACTTAAAAAAATTGGAAAAATTTAAAATTTAGCTCGTAGTTTATAGAAATCCTAAAAAATTTTGAGAAAAAAATAACAGAGGAATAGAAATACAATCGCTCAAGACCAAAGAATTTAATATTATTCAAAAAAAAAATTTGGGACACTTCACAAATTTGCGTTAAAAATTAGTTATATGAAAGTGATTTTCAGCATGTGAAATTTAAAAATATATTTGCGGAAAGACACCACGTTTCAGGCAGCTTTTAGGATGAAATATTTTCATTAGAAAATCATCTGCGTATGGAAGTGTGAGTGCTTCTAGCGACCCGAATTTTATTTTCAAAAGAATTCGAACTCATAGTGCGTGATCTCATTTATAGCAATATTATTTTCATGTAACTTTCCATGTACAGAGTCAAAGAAAGTCCTCCAATTCCTCTTTGTTTTTAAGTGATTATTATTTGTTAAATAAAAATTTAAAAGTATTTTGAATAGTTTATAAAAAATATTTATATATTTTTAAATATTTTTTGACAATATTTTAAACTTTTGTTGTTTTATTTATCTAAAAATTCGTAGGTTTCTGATTTACTTCGATATTTTAATTACATTTTTGAATTTACTTTTGAATTTAAAATAATTTTTCAATTTTTTTAAAGTACATTATTATTTATTTCTTGTCTTCAGATCATAGATCAAATATCTGGTAAATATTCAGTTAATCTTCAATTTTTTAAGGGTTTTTCAATTTTTGCTTTATTATTTTTAATTTACAAGTTCAGTGGTTATTTGCCACTTAGTTTTACTAAATTCAATTTGTCCTTTTCACCTCTCCAGCCTTTTCTTTTAATAAAAAAGACTAAGATTGCAGATTTTTTATGTTTAATTATGCCGAAAAATAAAGGAAAAGGAGGCAAAAATCGTCGGCGAGGGAAAAATGAAAATGATATCATGAAAAGAGAATTGGTATTCAAAGAACCAGGACAAGGTTTCATTTATTGCATTGTGAAGTTGTAAGAAATAAATTTTTTCTTTTAATGAATTTTTTGTTTTGTTTTGTTTTAATATGGAAATAAATTGGAAATTATGCATATTGCATATTTTTGAATTCAGAACAACATTTAATCAAAATTTTCTCCGATTAGTATTCATTACTTTAAATAGTTTTAGAATATGCTCAAGTGGTTAAGATGTTGGGTAATGGTCGTCTTAATGCGAACTGTTTCGATGGGAAACCACGGTTATGTCATATTCGCGGTAAATTAAGAAAAAAAGTTTGGATAAATACGGGTGATATCATTCTCATCGGATTGAGGGATTATCAGGATGATAAGGTAAGGCATGTTTATTAAATTTTTTATGGGTACATTATGGTTTGTAATGAATTTCTATATAATACAAGGTTCTTTATAAATTTTTTATATTTTAATCAAATCTATAATTATTAAATAAAATAGGGATTGTTGGTTAAAAAGTTTCTCTATTGAAGCCTTTTTTTAACCTTTTTTTTAGGCGGATGTAATATTGAAATATAATCCTGAAGAAGCAAGAAATTTGAAAGCCTGTGGACAGCTACCTGAGAATGCTAAATTAAATGAAGGTGGTGATGATATGGATGAAGGAGGTGTTGAATTCGGTTTGTTTTAATCCCAGTATTTTTTTTATCTAATACATTTTGATATGCAAAATATATTTTAATTCTTGTCTAATATATTTATTATTTATTGTATTTATTACTTAAAAGTGTTGGCGTTTCTGATTAAAGATCTGAAAAAACCACTTTTTTAATACTGGATTTCACAGAAGTATTTTCAGCTGATGTGGGAGCTCTATCAGATGAAGAAAATAACAAATCAGGAAATGAAGATCTGCCATCCAGTGGTTATGATGAAGATGAAGATGAAGAAGATGATGAAAGTGAAGGTGAAAGTGAAGATGATGATGAGCAACTAACCGAGGAACAGCTTGCTCATGGTTATTCTAAGCCTGGTGCGCGTGACTCTCGCGATCGTTTCAGAAAGAAAAAAAAATGGTAGATGAAATGATATATAAATCGTTTCTAATTCCACGGTCTTCTGCTTGAAATTTGTAAATATTGAGGGTAACGATTGATTAAAATAAAGAATGGTGGAATTAATTGCATAAAACTGATGAACCGATTTTAATTTTTGGGTTCTTTAAAAAAAACGATCGCCAGATCGTTCATTTTTTTTCTTATTTTTTTCATTTTCTGACTTAAGCCATAGTTCTGGAGAATCAGCTGAATTGAAATTGAGGAGAAATTATCCTTCGCTGATTTACGGTTTTATATTATTTTATTTTATTTTTTATAGCGGTTTCCGAAATTTTTTAAAATCACATTTTTTTGTCGTTTTCCTTTTTTTTCTAAATTTTGTATTGCCATTGAAAACAATTTTTTATTTTCTTTGATGCATCGTTACTGTGATTTCTTTTCATTTTCGAGATTTTAACTATTTTTTCATTTTATTTTTAAGTTTCTCGGGAATATTTAATAAGGAGAAAAAAATATGGCAATGGCAATATTTGTTACTTGAATAAACTGTTAAAAAATAATAAGTTAATTTCAATCTCTGTAAGTCAGAAGCTTAAGGCCCATAAAACTGGAGAAGATGGAGTCTTCGAACTGAATTTTAAGGATAAAAGGGGCAAGGCGATATTGCGCCAGTTCGCAATAAATAATGAATTTTTAGGTATACAAAATCAGGTTATAATTATGTATACCTAAAAATCCGGACACTTAATTTTATAATTCAAAAATTCAATTAAAACTTTCGCAATTCGAAAGGGATGATAATACGCGATACGTCAGGGAGAGCTTAGATTATTGCATAATTCTGGAAGATTTTCGTTCAGGACAGCGCATAGTTGTTCTGACCGAAATCCAATGTTAAATAATGCTGGATATATCGCTTCGTCGGATAAGATGCAATTACTTGCTTCAACGACTTTTTCGCTGCTTCTAATCAATTGTTCAACAAGTCACGTAGAAAGTTGGGATTTATTTGAAAGTATTTCATCGGTATGCGTTAGCAGATGTGTACCTGTGGGTACGGAATCGACATCATTTGAAATGCTTGCTAATGTTCATTTTCGTCCTTGCAGTTTTCGGATTTACCGTAGATTGAGTTTGCAAATCTGCATGAAGTACATAAATCAATTTATAGTACGTAGGCCAAACTGAGTGCAACTCGCTTGAAAGCAGTAATCCATTTTTGAATTTCGAATTGACTTATAATTTAAAATAAATCGAACTATAAAATTAAATTGACAAAGATGCATTTACATTGTTTATCATTCTTTCGATGCTTCGTATTTTTAGTTATATTGTGGGTAAAAATTTGGAAAAAAGCTACTTGAAGGATTTTCTTAAAGATTTGAACGAAGACGAACTTCCAAATGGTAAATTTTTATTGAGCTCTGAGTTGTTTATTTGTTTTGAATTTTTCTGAATCGATTTCTTGAGGCTGTTATTACGTTTCTTGAAGGTAAATCAGAAGTGAAATGTGACGACTAGTTAGACCATTCAGTGTTGCTGACTGTTACAAGGCTACACTTTCGCAATCCTTTACTGAAGAAAAGAGGATGATAAACGATCGGACTAATCGAACTACTTTTGGTTGCAGAAAAAATTGACGCGAGATATCCAGAAAAAAACTTCAGCTGTTCCGCAGTGATCTTAGAGAGCCGAAAATCTTTAACATTTTCCTCGTTTGAAAACAATCTTTTGATTTTAGTAGAAGAAATATCAATGATTATCACGAAAAGAATTGCTAATAGACTGTAAAAAATAGATCTGAAGATTCGGAGATAAATATTTTCAACAAATTACCTTTTTTATCAATTTATTATATATTTGATGTTAATGTTAAACATAATAACTGACGTCATTAAAAGTGTTTTCGGTTTTTTGGAAAATACTTTCCGATGAAGCAATTGAGTTTGGCACAAATGAAGGAGAATCAAGCATTGCCAATGCTTCATCTATCACAAATCTACTTTACCGAATGAATTTTGGTAATTTGTGTCATTTAAAGAAATTCACATCACTTGCTGACTAATTTCAGTTTTTGGGATAACATATTCTTGCGTTCTAATATTTATACTCTACTATGAAGTTCCTAAAACCAAAGCGAGCATAACTGAGGAATCTCTTCTGAAACTATTGCGTGCTGTCTCACAAATTATATGCTAAATTTTTACGGTTTCTAACGAATGTCCACGAAAACTCCAGAAAATCTATTTCTCGAATATTTTTAAATTCTGGCTTTGGATCCGCTTTCACATCTAATGACCAGGTCGAAATTGAAATCCTATCTAAGGCGGCTGCAGGGAGATCTGCTTTCTTTCAGTCACTGTCGCCTCGAGAAAGTTTGCATCTTTCTGTTAGTAATGCGCCTAACCCTATTGTACAGTGTTCAATTAACTATGGGTTTTGGATTTTAATATTATCCATCTATTAGTGTCAATTCTAAATAATATTAAAAATTCACTAAGAGTGGGTTTTTTATGTTTTATTTTTTTTATTTATTTATTTTTCAAAAATAAAACTTGAAATCCTCCTGTTGCTGAAGGATTAACTACTTTACTACTTTCTTCTATCCTCATGTCAATCACTGGCAAATCACTGGCAAGCTGAATCATTGAACTGAAGTAGCCAAACGATGAGAAATGGTGAGTGATATTAGATGAAATAAAAGGAAAAATATTTTTGAAATTTTATATTTATATGAAAATATTTTGCAGAAAATATTTTTCTTTATTATTTATCATTCTTTACTTTCGTTACTTTGTCGGAACAAGGTATGCATCTATTTTTCTTCCAATATTTTCTAACATTTTAAGCGGAAAAATTTTTTCCTCCAATATTTCCTTATTTCATTTCATTAATTTTTCGCTAAAAGAGTTGTTCAGAATGCATTTGCAATGGATAATTATTCGAAATAAAACTTATATGTTTAGAGTGAAAATCACTTGGAAAGAGGAGAGGATAGAAATATATGAATCGTCAGCGCCATTCGAAATTTGTGCAAAGCTGATTCGAATTTTTCCCCAATATTCTTTCTTGATGTACAACATTATTACCATTGAAAAGATAATGCGTATAACAAATAAATTTATAAATATTTAAGTGTTGACATTGGCATTGATGTCATGACATTCTAATTCGGAATTCATCGTAATCATAATATTCTTCTAATATCAATTACGTTGGGGATAGGATGGCTCAGTGAGTTGTTGCTCAATTTGGATTGGCCGAAGCTGCTGTTCGGTTTCCCGCAGGAGCAAACCTGTAAAAAAATCCGAGTGATACTGGAGACTCAACCGTACTTCTATCACCAAGGGACTCCCTGGCGTATTGCTCAGTGCGACTCGCCAGTGGAGCGAGTTTAACCAGTAATGGTGAGGGCTCTTAAGAAGAAGAAGAATAATATTTATTTGGCTTGCACTGATCATTGGGATGCAGTCGTTTTGCTGAAATGACCTGGGAGATGGAAGTACACACCATTCTTCAGTAGCATGCGGAATCATCTATTATTTATTATTTATTGATAACCAACCAAGCAGGGCGACAAGGCCATGTGCTTGTATTAATAATAACAATTATGATAACAGAAAAAGAAAACACAAAACAACAAAAAAAAATATATATATAACATAAACAAAATTAATTATAAAACAATATGACAGAAATTAACAATTTAAAGAGGAAATTACAGATCAATATAATATACTACAATTCGAGGTAACATATATAACCTGAAGATAAAATCGAGATTTCTCACTTCCTGCAGTTCTTGCCTGGTGTAAACTCTTCTCTTTTTTTTTTTGTTTTTAAATAATATCGTAAATGATATTATCTAGTCTTTTTTTAAAGACAGCTAGGGATGACGCACAAGCTACATCGTTCGGTAATTTGTTCCAGTAGTTAATAGTACGAATAAAGAAGTCATGACTCTTAGTTTAGTTTTGCATATAGGTTTTAGTAATTTTAAGCCATTAGTTCCTGTTGGATTCAAATTTAGTCTAAAGTTATAATATTTCGAGCAATCTAGTTTAACATAACCATACAGAATCTTATATGTGTAAATTAAATCTTGTTTAATTCTACGAACTGAGAGAGAATCCATGTTATGTTGTAGAAGTGTTCTTTTATAATTAAAATTATAATTTTTATTAGGAGAGAGGCGTCTTAGAAAATATTTTTGGAGTCCTTCGATTATTTTGCCTGTTTTGCGATGTCTAGGGGAGTAAAATGTAGTATTGTAGTCAAGAAGAGACCGAACGAATGCTTTGTATAATTTGATAAGAAAACTTTCAGTTTTGTTCTTAAACGAACGAAAAATAAAATTTAGTATCTTTGAGGATTTCTTTACTATGGTTCTGCAGTGAAGATCGAAATCGAGATTTTCATCCATGATTATTCCAAGATCGGAGATGTGTGAGACTCTATTGATTAAATTACCATTTATAAAAAGGTTAGGAAGATCAAATCCTTTAGAGTTGATGTGAAGAACGCTACATTTTTGAAAGGAAAGGGTAATTTGCCTGTCGTATAGCCAGTCAGCTATTCTGTTGAGGTCCTCCTGCAGTGGAGATAGGCTATCCGTTCTACCATGAGAATAATAAATTTTACAGTCATCAGCATAAAGATAAATAGTAGAATTTATTACCACTGTGGTGATATCATTTATATATAATAGAAATAGCAATGGCGCAATACAACTGCCTTGGGGAACGCCTGATTTAACAGGTGTCATGTCAGAAAGAGTGTTGTTAACATATACAGCCTGGTAACGATCTTTTATGTAATCTGAAACCCAGTTATAGAGGTCCCCTGTTATGCCATAACTATTAAGAGTGACCAATAATTTGCTATGGGAAACAGTATCAAAAGCCTTAGCCAAATCTAGGTACACAACTGATACTATTTTTCCATTGTCAATTGATGCTGACCAATCAGAGAGATTTGCCAATATTTGTGAAGAAGTAGATTTTTTTGTACAAAAGCCATGTT